ATGCTGTCTTGAATAGTACTTCAATTAAAAGGATTCAACAACTGAACTATCAATTTAAACGGGAAAAAAATGAATTAACCTTTTCCTTTTGAACTTATAATAGATTGACTGTGCTTCTGAAATCTTCCGATACTCTAGTAGTTGTTCTGAATTCTGATTTGTTCATACATACTGAAGCAATTTCTTATATTCTTGTTTAATCTTGACTGTTAGATTGCAACCTACGAAGCTCCGGGGAAATATTGTTTGAAATCAGGAGTTGAGTTGGAAGGCTCCAAAAGACTTTCATCCGAAGGTGAAAGGTACTTCAACATTTGAGGGTGATTTTATCTGGTTGACTTGAACAGTTATTTGCAAAATCTTATGTCGGGTTATTCGTTCTTGTTACCATTTTGCAAAATCTTATGTCGGGTCATCTTTTGAGAATATTACATTACATGTTGAATTCAAACCACAATTTTTAGAGGGAGTAGAAATGTTTCACGACAACCTCAAATGCCTCATTTTTTTAGAATATTACATGACATGCTGAATTCAAATTTATAACCTCTTAGAGGAAGTAGAAATGCCTCAACTATTTCATCATGATAGTTTAGTTTTATTTATTATCAATTAACTAAGCTCTATGAGGAAGAAAGCGTTAGCAAATTGTTAGGTAGAATGCTTCACTGCAAGGTTTTTTAATAATATTCAATGGTTAAGACATCCTTATCTCCTCTAAGAGATTGTAGGTTCAAATCTCTACGTGTTGGAATATTCTCTATACGAAAAAGAAAAGGAAAACAAAATAACTTCATGAAAAGAGTAATTACATTGGAGATTGGATAGCAGATCAAACCAAAAGAAAGCTCCACCCAGTAATTTACTAGCCAGTGTTTTTGATATACATGGATTGCTCGATGTTCATCTAGGAATCTAATTCGCGTCTTGTACTTTCACAGCTCTCCTTTGGTCAGCCATCATCAAACCCCTGTACACGAAAACCTCCATGATCAAATAACTGCTCCAGAACCGCAGTTAGGAGCAAGATGTGGCATTGAATTGGAGGAAAAGGTAGAAACCTCTCAAGCTAACAAAGTATCAAATTTCTTGGAGAAAAATGGCATCCAACATCATTCACCCCATGTTTTTGCTGAAAAAAAACTCCCTGAAAATAGTGAAGGTCAGGCAGCTAGTTCTTCTGACAATGAAAGTGACAGTGATTCTGAAAGTGATAGCAGTGATAGTGAAACTGATAGCGGGAATCATAGTAGGAGTAGAAGCCGAAGCCCCATGGGTAGTGTGAGTAGCAGTGATAGTGAAAGTGACGCACCTTCCAATAGCAAGGAAGGTTCTGATGAGGACGTGGATATCATGACCAGTGATGATGACAAAGAATCCAAGTATAAATTGCAAGCTTCCGTACAGGGTTTCTCTACATCTCCTGCTGCTTGGAAAAGTCCAGATGGTGGGGCTGTGCAGAATATGGATGATGAAAAGGAAAATGGACAAGAATCTGATGCAACAATTGACATTGAGAACGATTCTTCTGATGATGAGCCAGAAGCTAAAATTGATGATCGCAATTTACTTCCTATTGAAGGTGGAAGACCTGTGGAAGGGTCAAGATCCTTTTCACCATACACTGATGAATTCCAAGAGCGCCAAGATTTTATTGGGAGTTTGTTTGAGGATAGGGAAAATACTGTTCTGGACAGTGCCAGACATGAACAATGTGACAGCACAGATAGGATATCTAAAGGCAAGTTTAAAAGGAGTTCTGATTTGGAGTGCTTTAAAGGAAATTCTGATTTTAGGCCAAAAAAGGGAAACAAAGAAACATTTTCAGAAAAAAAAAGTTCAGATTTTTCACAAGCAGGTTGGAGGCCCCATGATCAAAATGGAGGGAGGGCTGTAGATACAGTAGTCAGACCTGATAAGCATGGTGATATTGGACGTGGCACTAAGCACACTGAAAGGGTTGGTCATGCTGATAAAAACTTTCATGTGTATAATGATACATTTTATGGAAATGCTGAACACGAAGGGACGAAGGAGAAAAAGAATTCTAGATCAGGTGGTCCAGGGGACAAACAGATGCAGCAACCCTTTGACTCCCATCACAGTAAACCTGGTGAAATAGTTGGAAAGTTAAAAGATGGCAAAATATTTTCAAGCTCACAGATGGGGTATCCACCAAGGGATAATAATAATAATAGAATTAGTGTAGACAGGTCCCCTGTTAATGGAAAAGGCCGAATTCTCCAAAGAGAGCTTTCAGACCTGGAGTTGGGTGAACTTCGTGAGCCCTTCTCCGAGGAAAAACCGGGTAAAAATAAATTCGAAAGAAGCAATTCGTTGAAACAGTTGGAGAATAAAGAAAACACTACAGATCTCTGGAGTTCAGATTTAAATAAAGAAAAATCTAAGTTGAAGGCTAGTTTAGAATATGGAAAGCAGTCCTCACCCCATGTAAGTACCAAGTTTCCCAGTAATCCGGAAGGCTCAAATAAACAGAAAAATTCAGAACATATAGTTGAAGACTCGAAGAGGCTTAACCACCGGTTTCTGCATTCTCATCCACAATATGATTCAAGGGTCGATCGTGTTGAAGTTGATAAGTCAGTTGACGCAAATGTAAAACCTAATCAAGGGATTGGTCCTGAAGGCTGTGGGGAAAGCAACAGAAAAACATCTGTTGGCATTTCCCTGCTGCATGATTTGAAAAGAGAACAGCTTCCCTCAAAAAAAGGAGGTAAAAGACTAGCACCTTATCCATTAGCTGAAGTTACCGATGAACTAAAGAACCCAGCATCATCTGAGCGTGAATATAGTGATCCGAAGAGGAGAGATTCTTCTTCAGACGAAAACAGTTGTTCATATTCCAAGTATGAAAAGGATGAGCCAGAGTTGAAGGGAGCCATCAAGGATTTCTCTCAGTAAGTTTCATCTATAACCCATTCATTTTCTTTTACTTCGCCATTAATGTTTGATAACTGATGAAAAAAATATACTTCTTATTAGGTACAAGGATTATGTACAGGAGTATCATGATAAATATGAATCATACCTATCCTTGAACAAAATCCTAGAAAGCTACAGGTAATACAACTTCTTTTCATTCATATCCGATTCTTATCCATTACTATACGTGTCGCAGTCTTCCTGCCTTAATGTAACAGCCCAATTCCACCACTAGCAGATATTGTCCTCTTTGAGATTTTTCTTTTGGGCTTCCCCTCAAGGTTTTTAAAACGTGTTTGCTAGGGAGAGGTTTCCACACCCTTATAAAAAATGCTTCGTTATCCTCCCCGACTGATGTGGGATCTCACACTTAATGTCCGGTTATTATGTTTAAAAAGTGTTCTGGTATGCTGTTACTGTAAATAAAAAATCATTAAGTTTTTAAACATCGGTGGACATGTAGGGCTGAGTTCTGCAAACTCGGAAAGGAGCTCGATTCTGCTAGGGGACAAGATTCGGAGAAATACTTTAACGTCTTAGGACAGCTGAAAGAAACCTATCGGCTGTGTTCAACGGTATGGCTGCCTATCCTAGTATCTTTTCTGTAAGTTTTTAACTTGATAGGATTAGAAGTTTTTCACGTTCACATATATACTTCTCCATCTTTGGGGCTTTGCAGCTTAATTCAACATTAGTAATTATTCTTGCACAAAATCTCAAGACTCACGTGGGTTGTACTTCATGTAGGCATGAATATTTTTGTTTGCCTTCATCTGAATGCACATCAATTTTTTTTTTCCTCGTTATTTATTTTCTTTCTTATATAATAAAGTTGACTCAAATTAAGAGGTAATTTGCAGAGGCACAAGAGGTTGAAAAAGATATTCATTGTTCTCCATGAAGAGCTGAAGGTGATTAACATCAACTTACTAATCCACATTACCATCTTACTTTTTGTAGTTCTAATTTTAATCTCTAGTTCGTTAGTTTCTTAATATGCACTATATTGTTGCAGCATCTGAAGGAAAGGCTTACAGATTTTGCACGAACTTACGCAAAAGATTAAGACTGGACATGCCTCTATTCGAGCAATCGAACGTCAACTCAGGGTACGTCATTAAATGGTCGAGTTGAACGCAAGAACTGTATCAATGAATCCTGTGTAAAAAATCAGTAAATTTGTTACTTGCTACCTACCTCCCCAACCCCAATATAGGAACATGTAAATTTTTTTGCTCTCTCCCGAAATGCATTTTATTTTGTTTAGCTAAGTAGAGAGGTTGGACTTTTGTTTTTAGTATAGCTTGGCCTCTTCCCTGTTAGTCTTGCGAGGCTTCTTTTGGGTTTGGATACAATGTATTTTATAGGTTGTACAAATTTTGAATGTGTAAAAGTGTTCCAATAGCTGTGAATATGCTCATGTTTGGGTTTGGATATAATGTTCTTGAACATTAGAGAGGATTATGGCTATAACTTAAACGAATTAAAAAAATTAATTACTAATTATTTTCAATTAAAGGAATGTAAATATTATGTAGACTTATTAAATTTAAACTAATACATTTATATTTTATAAATATCTTGACAATTTAATATTAACTTTTATTTTATTTTTCAATTCTCAATATTACTTTTAATTAATGTTTAATGTAAAAGTATTTATTTATTTTTATTTGAATTGACTAATTTATTAATTTAACTATATATTAAACAATACTAAATTTAACTTATGATTACAACAAAATTATTTAACTATAATTTTTATTAACAAAAATTGTATAACATACACATTATATTAAAATTATAATATTTAATAAATTAAAAATTATTAAACAACTATTAGTACTATTTTAATATTCTATATGTACGGTTTACATTTATTAATTACCCTGCATGTCTAAATGCATCCATTAATTATCACATAAATTTAAATCATAGACATAAATCTCATATATTTACTAATTGAAATCAACTAATTTAAAAAAAAAAAAAAAACATAACAAAACATAAGATTTAGGGTTTTTCCAAGTACTTATTTTCCCTACCGGACCATGAAATATCCTAGAAATTTTCAACTGCAATTAAAATAACATATAACCAAAACAAAGTCGCAAGGTTACCTGACAAGTTCACCACAGCATGAAAATAAGCATATAATAATAATCCAAAACATAGCAAAACATCTGTCTCCAGACTACTCTTCAGATTCAAAACTGTGCACTAAGTTGGCATTCCAACAAAAAACACAATGGCAAACGCAACATCTCTTTTTCATTCTCTTAATTCTCACTACCTACTTCCTTCCACCTGATTTCAACGCTTGTCTGTTCCTCTTCTTGACCCCGGACTTGGCAACCTTTAGGCTCCTGTTCACAGCACTCAATCTTGCTAGGGCAGCCTTTTTCAGATCTGGCCTGTAGTAGTTATCTGCAACCTGCATATCATTGGGGAGTGTGGAGGGGTTGTTAATGCAACTGTTCCAACTGCATAAACTACATTTGATAGGAAAAAGTACTCAAGATAATTAAGTTCGCTACTAAAATGCCTGAACTTAAAGTACCTGGTTTGTTACAGCTTTGGCCATCTTACTGAACTCTTTCTTCAACAGAGACTTATGAAGCAATGAAGAAGGTTTGTTCTGTTTCTTGCTCTTGGTTGTTGCAAGCAAAACGGACTGATCTTTGCCTCCAGGTTGAATTGTAACTGTTTTCTTGTTGGCCAAGCCTAAAACAAAAGAATCATAATGAACCTCTATGCATAAACTGAACTCAATATTTATAATGTTATCATCAAACAGAAAAAAACAAAGAAAAGAAAAAAGTGAAACTTCTCTCACCACTACTAATGAACTAATAGCTTTCAAGAACAAATTCAAATGTTTCTCAACATCAAATATGTAAGATAATAAACCGAACTGTTCAAAGAAAGAACAAAACCAAGCATTCAAATACTCGAGCATATTTTTTCTAGTGCTCACAAATTAGCAATGGGAGGATTTAGTCAAGGAAACTGTAGAATCAAAATGTCAAGCATGTAAACCCAAGAACTGAATAATGTCTCGAACACATAAACAAAAGAACAAATTAAATAACCACACCATTAGTTGAACAGGCACAATGACCATTCACCTATTTCTATTTAAATGCACCGCGGATGCTGTAATAACCGGGACGATAATTGAAACAATTTCACATTGCTTACATAGCATGAATCAAGTATGCTGGCCCCTCTGCAGCCAAAATCCAGAATACATGACGCGCATACAAACAGTTATCCAGATAACCGCCAATTGGCCAGAGGATCCAGATTCCAAACAATAAACCAAGCATATTTTCGGTCATTTGCAGTACTTCAGGTAATCAAAGGAGACAACACTCAATTTATTTAAATTTCCACAACTAAATAGTACCAAACAATCATACACAAACCTCCAAATGACGACATAATATACTCGTGACCCTACCTCTAAATCAACTCGACAATCAAGCAAAATTCTTCAAACTTAGTCCTCTAGCATTTCCTTTAAAATGGAACAAAAATGGCTCATTAATCAGAGAATTTAAGATGACTTACCAGAATGCTTGTAGGAGTTCAGATTGTATAAATTGTTGGACTCTTTGCTGAACTGAACGCCAGCTGTTCCCCTTCCAAACTCCTTCACCAAAAACGAGTTGTTCCTCTTCACAATCTCCCAAACCAGTTGTCCTGAAACCGCCGCCATCTCCTTCTCTGCCTGCAACGCGATAGAAACATATCAAAGAAAAACCTTCGAAGTGAGTCTAGCTTGAGTAAAACATACATATGCGCGAGAACACAACAAAAAAAAAACATTGAAACTAAATCGTTGAGAGAAATACAAGACCTGATCGGTTTTAGGGTTTTGTCTCACAGATGCTCCGATGGGCAAAAATGGGGCGTAATGAGCAAGGAGTTTCGTACCTTTTATACTAAACCCTAATTACCCGGAACTTCAATGGGCTTAGGTTTAGGGCATCCATCATATTTTCATTTCTTATTAAAAATTTAATTAATATAAATCTAAAGTTTATTTTTCATTTTATTATTTTTATTTATTTTTAGATTATAGTTTAAAGGACCAAATAGATACAATATTATTCAAATATTTACCTTTTTGTAAAAGAAAAAATATTAAAATTGAATAACTTGAAAAATACAATTATTTATATATTGAATAAAAATCACCAAAATAAAAATGTTAAAATCACAAAAAATTTGAAGAAAGCTTTTTAACTTTTATTCAGATATTTTATGTCAATTGAATTAAAAAAATTTTAAAAAAAATTGTATGCCTCAATACACTTCATAATAATATATGTTTGTTATAATAATATACGTCGAGTATGAGAAGGCCATTGTTTTTATCAAACATAAAAATAACCTAAGATGATAATACGATCAATCAAAAACAAAATTGTTATCAAACGGATCCTAAATTATTGAAACGTTCTCCACATTAGGCATTACCATCTTCATTCCTCAGGTGATAATCCATATATACAAAACCAAAAGCATTCATTCTCCTACCCACATTTCTTACTATAGAAGGAGAAACATGCAAATTCAGCGACCACAAAACTAATTATTCACTCACAATCATTCTTAAACCCCGATTCTTGGTCGTGCCAAACCGTCCACTGCGTCGTTTAAACGACCGAATACTACCTTAAGGGGGATACATGCTATAAAAGCACCCTTGGACTTGCTCTCATCTACAAACTGCTGCTCAACAGTCAGTGAAGACAGTCTCTTGGTCTTTTTTGGTAGTTGTCCCGAATTCTTCGTCTTCAACGCTTTGCCTGTTGAAGGGCGTGGCTGAAATGCACGGGCATGGCGCTTGCCCGACGTTTTTCCTTTCAAAGAACTTGATTGCACTGAACGAGAACTTTCCACACTCCGAGGATCAAGTTCGGATCTGCTTGAAAGTTCGTCACAGTGACCATCTTCCAAGACCTCAACAGTGAGCGGATGACCAATAATTGCCTTACAATTTAACTCGCTCATTAACGAAACCAATGGAACATGCTGTGGCCTATAGTTGGCTTTTACCATAACCTCAACATCATATGGCGAAGCATTACAGCCAAGTTTTGTAAACGAAAATTCTGACCTTTGATATTTTGAGTGAACCGTAAGGCGGGATCGGCGAAAAGGGAGCAACCTTGGAGTAGAATCCAACTCATTTGATCCATCTTCAGCAAGTTTCGGATCAGATCTGACGTTGAATCCATCTCGATGCTCCTTAGCTGCTCCGGAAGTGTTTTGCTTGTTGTCCGTCTCATTTGTAGGACTTTTCTTTGTATGCCTTGAATTCCTCTTCCCCTTATGCTGCCATTTTGAACTCCCCTTCTCTATGGTTTTACTGATATTGCTCTCTGGATCAGCAACAGCAGAACTAGTAGATCCAGATTCATTATTTAGTTCATTGCTTACACATAGGAGTTCAGCTTGGCTACTTCGGCTGGATCGTCTTCCCGACGCACCAATTGCACACCTAGGGGAAAATGTTGGGCCTGGCAGAAGTAGAAAATACCCAGTAAGGGGAAAATGCACGATTGTCACATCAACACGAATTGTAAACAAAATGGAAAAGCAATCAAGCTTGATTAGAATAAAGTTCGAACCTAACAAGCCATACACCATATGCAATCTTAAAGCAAGAATAGTCCAAATATTTACAAGTGAAGAACCGGTCAATATCAATAAAGCAAGACATATGACACATACCTGCGGGATTTTTTCCGTCCCCACTGGATGACACGTGACATAATTGATCAGAAATATCATTCTCAGCTCGATCAGAAATGCTTGAAACTTCATTATCCTTCACCTCGATATTAAAATCAGAAGTATCAAGAGCAATTGTAGGGGTCATATTCTCACAAGACATTATCGTACTGTCCGAGTTATTGTTCGTTGCTGCAGAGGAACTCTTCTTTGACTCGTTAGATTCTCGTTCAGAAAGCTTTCCATCTGACGATCCCCCGATCGGTGAACCACATGAATTGGTAAGTTCATTGCAAACAACAGAAACAAATAACATTGATGTACTTTCTAAAACTTGTGTTAATGGTCTACGTCGATTTTTCCTTTTCGAGAGTTCATTAACATTGGACACATGAAACCTCTTTCTTTTAAATAGGGATGAATTGATTTTGCTGTCATCTGGAGGATGTTCATAAGCCAAGCAATTGGGAGTATTTAAATTACGGTTTACATCACTATCTTCTCGAACCAGCTCAACTACGCCTCCAGTGTGAACTTTTCTTTTTGACACTACACCTACACCAAAATCCTCGAGCCCTCTCATCCGCTTTACACCCTCCGTTCCATCATCCTCAGAGTCATTTGGAGTTCTCCTCGTACTCTGACCAGATCGGACCATTGAAGAACACAAATTTTCTTCGAAAGAAATTCCTGACTGAGATAATTCTGGCATTGAATCACTCATATCTTCATTCAAGTCTACTTCACTAGAATTGGCCATGAGTGCGGTGTTTCTGGTAGAAACACCACGCTTGCCAGAGGTATCCATTCTACAACTAAAGGCCAGCGGGTCCTTGCCAAGCACTCTCAAGCTCAAGTTCTTGAAGAATTGCATCTTCCCTTTGAGCATATTTTACTGCTTTTTTACTTGCAATGGCCACAGAAGCCTTGGCTTTCTCAATAAACTCATCATATTCCCCGCATCGAAATGCCTTCACTCTTTTAGACTTTTCAAGATTATACCAGTCACTATATCAATAAAAAGGAATTTGTCAACATAGTTGAAATTAGTACATAAATAAATATAAGCCAGTATCATGATCATAATAAAAGAATTTAGTATCGTTGTCATGAATTCAGAAAGAGGAAACAAGGAAAGCAAGAGATGGTTGAGGCTGCATTCTTAATATTAGCCCCATCATCGAAATGCCTACTACTCCTAGTCTCATCATAATATTAGCCCCAATCGCATGTTTAGAAGCTGAATTCTTAACTTCCAAGAGATAGTTGAGGCTTAAAGTTTTGTTTGTTGACTGTTTTAGCTTTTAATTAGCTTCAAAGTTCTAGAGTTGGTCTGATCCCCCTTTCCATTCTTTCACCGACAAAACCGACCTTTCAATTTGACTTAACGAAACAACTTCAACTTTAGAACAACCAATCAAACGGGTAAGGCTAAGATAAGGGCCTGTTCATAATCCCTATTCAAATTGCTTGCTTGACTGATTAAGAGAGCTTGGACGGGAGAAGAGGCGTTGACGACGCAACGAAGAGATTTATATCATTGAGAACTAAAGCCTCCCGCGAAAAGGAATCTAGAGTAAAAGAACGAACTAAATTGACTAGGAGGCGGACGGGGAATGAAGGGGGAGGGCTGAGGAAAAAATCTAGATCTTTCCTTATCATCAATTTCGTGCTTAACTTTCAAGAGTCGGTATTGACATATCCTATGCAATAGAAGGCAAAATAACTTAAGCATAATCCCTCCATCACTGATCCTTCCCAAATGCAATTTCTTCCCATTAACAACGTTTTTACTCAGGTACTGAAATCTAGCAGAAGTGTTCAAATATTTTTTTCTTCTTTTTAATAATTTCTGCTCTTTCGTGTTGCCCTTGAGAGCCTCTGTGACGTTTGTCTGCCACTGTATACTTTTTATATACTCCATTCTGTTAACAAAATATTGTTTCATACAAAAGTAAATAAATAATTAAGGATCCAAGGAAAACAGGGACCCTTGCTTGCCCCTTCGGAGTTCTATGCATTCATGTAACCATATATTACAAACGATGATGACAAACCAAAGAGTATCAACTGATTAGAGGCCAATCCAAATCAAAAGGTGCACAAGGGGTTCCATTCTTTTGTTCAGGACATGATGCGTTTCAAGCACAACACCACCTGATCAACTAAGGCTAACAAGGTTGAACACACACAAGTCATTAACACCAAAACTGAGCCAGCCTAAGCCACAAACATAGATATTCAGTACAAAGAAACTGAAAGTTCATATAAAGTGAACTAAAAATGCTCAACAATTCAAAAGAACTCAGAAAGAATCACTCACATGCTTGCATCCTCACGACCAAGAAGCTTCGCCGGAGTACCTGATTTTGGGCAAACCAAGCAGGTCTCAGACAGCTCTTCAAGACCCAAATCCGACCAGGCCACCACGACCCATTACGGCGGCGGACCCAAACTAAACTACCAACCGATGCATCAATGACCTTAGTGGTATTAGACCCATCAAAGCTGCCCATCTCAACAGCCCCCGGAAAACCAGGGTTCCCAATACCTCGTTTTCAGAAATAAATGCATATATAATCCAAACCTAAAACCAGGGAAAAGAAAAGTAAACAACAAATGATATACATGCAATCAATCAAAAACCCAGAAAAAGCAATTCAATCAAAGTAGATAGAAAGAAACCTGGATTGAAGGGTAGGTGACAGGGAAGAAGATCTACCAGTATTTTAAGGAAAACGATGAACTAATCAAACATTGAAAACTATGTTTGTTGATTTTGTTATGTTGAAGTGATTGGCAATCGCGGAGAATCTTTATTGTTTGCTGATCCTTGATTATCAACTCTCCTGAAGAGATATGGGAGACTGAGACAGAGTGGTGTGGGTTTTGGATCAAAACAGAGTGTCTGCACTTGCTATCTTGGGAAAGAAACTCACATAGTGTGGGATTATGGATACACCGAATTAAGTACCAAAATAGAACAGTTCAAAAGAAAAAGTGACAAGATCAATGCTCGTGCATTTGTAAGTAATGGGCGCTAATTCCAGAATACCATTGCAGGCCCAAATTGGAGCACCACACGCTCCCTATAAAAAAAAAAAAAAAAAATCGTAATGAGAGAATCACAATATCCATGATCAATGATCGATAATATTGTCAGCATAAGCTCTCATGACTTTATTTTGAGTTTCCTAAAGGTGCCAATGAAGATCATTTTCTAAATTAGCTAATGTAGGACTCACTCCACTCTTAATAATCCTTAATACAAATATCCTTTGCAAAGGTAAGTAAGCACAAGTTGTATATCTTGTATTTAATAGATTATTAGTCTATCAACCATTTTTTTGAATCCACAATTTATTTTAGATAAAATTAAAAATTAAAAATTTTATTGGATATAAAAATTATATTCAATTTTAAATCTAATAAATTTTTTTAATTTAATAAAATGTCAAGGTAAGGATTCGGAACACAAAATAAAAAGTTTTATTAGATTTATTAGACATTTTTTTTAAGTTTCAAGAGTTCATTAGATACAAATTCAAAAAAATTTAGAGACTTATCACTAATTAAACACAACTTTAAAAGCGGATAATCAAAACTTCTCATTTAACTTATATTTGTGGGATTAAAATATATGAATTCACTTATGAAATTTGTGTAATTTGTGTGTATAAAATCTTACATCCAAATATTTTATAAAAGTGTGAAAACTTCTCCTTAATCGTTTTAAAAAGTCCAAGAAGAATAATATATGTTAGTGGTGGATTTTGATGAGTCCCGAGTTGTGACATCTTGCACCAATAATACTTGAACGAAAGGCTGTACCTACGATAGAGACTTGGAATTGGCATGCCTTTTCTTTTGTTATATTTTTAAAATATTCTTCAAATTAATATTAATTAGAAAGCACCAATATACTTCAATTATATTCTTCAACCATTCTCTTCCCCTTTTTCCTTTTGGAATTATTCTTTAATTATTTCTCATGCTAAATACTAAGGAAGTTTTGGCTTCAAAAGTGGTAGTGATGATGTCAATCCGATCATAAACATAACAACCCAGCAAACATGAAGATTGAACCATATACAAATTTCAAACAGCAACAGAGGCAGAGCCTTCAAGGAAGAGCTTGATGAAGATGAATAAATTTTTATTTCCCATCTCCATGTATTACAAAAGAGTAACAACCACATATATATATATAGGCAGCATAACTGGCCAAATGAACAGTTCAGAAATCTTGAGGCCTTTTCCTACCCTACGCTGCAATGGTACTTTACAACAAGTTAGAATCTTAATTTCAACAATTTGAGCCCTCTGGAATCCCAGGGGTATGGCATGGTGTGTATATGATCCAGAAAATGGTGTCGTATATTTAGTACCTGATCTTCTAATCCGCGGTGGTACGATACATGGCTCGCCATCGAGGGCACTTCTGCAGGACATCTTTGTATTAGGCACAGGAGAAGAAAGCATCTTTTGGGCTCAATGTCTATCATACACAACCTTGATCAGTCATGGCTTGAGCAACAGTCAGAAAAGCAGAAATGACTGCTCCGTGTACAAGAGCCCTATTATTATCAAGCAGATGAAAAGCACATAAGGTTTCAGAAAAACAAACCTCATCAATATATAGATACACATATATTTAATCAAGCACAAGATACTTGACTTGTGTGCTTAGATAAACAGCGGGAGAAGTAAAAAGATCAAGCGCAAAATGGTGAATGAGGTTGTTGGGTCCTATTCTTTACTTCTTATTTTTTTTTTTTAACTACTTCCCCTCTCGATCAAACCAACAGTTCAAAGCGGATAATCATTTTAGCAATCACATTATGGAGCTGAATTGGAGTAGAACTCACTCAGGACTCTCTTTTTGGTAACCAAAATCAGCTGCTGCCTTGAGGGCTCTCTGGTAAGTCTGTTTCATAGCTTCCTGCAAGTTAAAGTGATGGGAAAACCATAAACAAGATTTCAACAACGGAGAATAAAATAAATATGCAATTTAATTGCAAGCTCGAGCATATGATGGGTATGATAACCTTCACATAGTTGGTTACGAAATTAATTTTCAAATCCGCAGACAACCAACATTGTGAAAGTAATCTCCTTTTTTTTTTTATCTTTAGAATTAATAAATTCAAGTTCTAGATGAATGAGCATAGAAAAGTATATTTCATGCAGAGTCCATCCAGCAGAAAGTATCAGATCAATAGATTTTACATTCTTAAATGTACCGGCATCATGTTAGATTGATCATATAGAGTACATTGATTCAGTTGTGGTTCTCATCACTGATAAGAAATTCAGAAAGGAAAGTACTTGAAGGTTTGAAAACATGCAAAATGTTGATTAATCGAATCTGACAAAGAAGAAATCCAGAAGTATTTCCCTTAATTGAATAATCTCACTAGAAGACAGGCTAAAAGATGATCCTCACCTGCAATTTAGATTCAAAGTCCTCCGGAGACCAATGCATCAGATTACATGCATGGTTTAATTCAAGTTCTCCAGCAACAACCTGCAACAAGGAAGCAAAAATAACCAGATAAGCTTAAATTTTTAATAAGCAAGAAAAATTCAAAGATCCAGAACCACCTGACAGATTAATTCTCCTTGAGCTTATGAATCATACGTCTGACGCATTGCAACTAAATTTGAAACTAGAATATTTGGAAGGCCAATGTTATGCGAAGAGTTTAATCATGAATGCTAATTCCACTTCTTCATATTATTGAACCATAGATTCTTTCAGTGCATCTAATTTTAATTCTAAACATGATATTCAAGACAACAACGACATTACTGAAACAGATCTGTTTACAACCGTGTCCTTGTGTTCTAAAGATATTCACTTCAACATTGTGACAATATTTGGAAACCAGTGACGCTTAAAACAATAGGGTAAATTGTGAAATTTCATAACTAGTGCTTAAGATCAAAATCTTCTCAAGAACCATAGAGAAATTAGTTGCCTGGCAATGTTTTAAAAGAATTTTGTAATTTTAACCATGTAACATAAGGTATGAGAGTTTATCATCCAGTGCCCCCAAATTCTGATCATAGTTTAATTTTTTTCAGGCATCAATGGCTTTCTTATTTGAAGCTCCCAGAAGAGACCATTCTCCTATTTCAAAGTGAGTCGACAATCAAACCCACATCAATCAAAACAATTTTTCCTTAACCAAAAAATTCTCTTAAAAAAATTATCTCAACTTTGAGCTCAAATAATGCACAGAAATCTAAATTTATTATTTGTGAGAAAAACTAATTCCTATTAGATATTTGTAGCACAATGATCATATACAGAGGGGATGAAGTGAATCGCACCCCTCCAGCACCTGCAGCCATTGCAGGAGCAATGAGAATATTAGCTTTTCTCAGCACATCAACAGCCTCAGGAGTACAGGGCATATTTGAACCTAGGGGAAAAGGCACCAGCAAGTGGCCTGATGTAAGCACAAAAATAAAATTTGAAAAAAAGATGGGGAGACATGGAAATAAAAACTAAAATAGTGTTTACTACCTTCTATTAGAATACGACAGCCAGAATTAATCAGGTTTATGGCATCGGCTTGATCAATTTCATTATGGTAAGCACAAGGAAACGCAACATCACACCTTTCATTCCAAGGTTTAGCTTCATCATAATACTTAGATCGAGCATAAGTCTTCGAATAGTCCCTGAGCATACCACATTGCACAGTATAGAAATATGAGCTACTAAAATGATAGCAAAAAAATGTTGAAACAAAATGGTGTAAATGTAAGAACACGCCTTAAACTTCTCTGCTGAGCCTTGATGTCTCTCAAAAAGGATATCTTCATGTAGTCAAATCCATCTTCGTCCACTAAATATCCCTTTGAATCTGAGAAATATTTGATTGTAACATGTTAAAAGAACAAGCTATATGTTCTCTTCATAGTAGTTGCAAATACCAAGAAACAGCAAGACCTTTAATTTCGAAACTGATTCTATTTTAAGTTGTAGCTAATATAAGACGAGAAAGAAACTTCTCTTTTCATCTAATTATCGATCAATTAGAATATTCAAACAAATCTAACTCAGATAGAACCGTGGATGTCGCTATGTTGCTGGGAATAATAATTAGAGACATCCACACAACTCATGCTAACTAGCAGTACATACTAGTCTTCAAATAAAAAATACAAGAGCCTTCTCCATCATGCAAGAGCCGAAAATTAATGCATAAAGCCTCTTAAATTTCTTCTAGCCAAAAAAAGAACTTAGGAAGGAAGAACAGTTCCTTCACCTAGTTGTGAAAACTTGGAAATGAAAATGAGGAAGACCTAAAAAGCTAGAGGAAAGGTACTACAGTGCTTTCTACCTCATTATGTAGGTCATGGTTCAAAGAAATATTTGAGAATCACCTGAGACAGTAATGGGGAGGGCACCATAAGCAATAAGCTTTTCAAGAACATGCATCGCAATCTTCCCAGAACCGCTTACAACGCATCTGGAGTAAAAATTTGTAAGAGGATTTTACATCAAAGATAAAGCTTTGAGGCACTGCTTAATTTTATGAAGATAGAACTCTAAAAAGCCAAAATGCATGACAAATACATTTAACACCGGCATAAATGAGCCACTAAATGAAGTACTTCTATACTAAGTGGTAAAATAACTCCTAGATTCTAATGAGAGAATCTAGTGATGGGTATTAAACCTTAATCCCTTGAGTTCTTTATTCATGTCTGCTAGTATAAGCTGTGCAAAGAAAACCTGCATGTGCATGAGAAAATTGTCAAAAACAATACATATACAAACTTTAAGTGTTCAGAGATACTTCAACCCATCCACGCCAAGATCAGGCTATATCTGAACCTATTGAAACCTGGCCACCATATAGATAGAGTATCCAAAAGATATAATGTTAATTACCAGACCATATCCAGTAGCTTCTGTTCGGAGGCTAGACCCAGACCAAAATATCCTTGGCCCTGTAAAACTTCCCTGCATGAGTAAGAATCCATAACAAATATTTTAGGTTTCTTTTCAAGGACAGATATATACCTTAAAATGAAATTCATTCACAGTGTAATCTGCAATATATGATGAGTTGTTGAGCAGGCTATGCTCATGGGTATCAAGTCCATAACAGGTCATAAAATGATTTTATAAGCCAATCATCAAACTACACTTTTCTGACTGAATAATCTTTCTCAAATTTTATCCCAATACACCACTTCCTTTAAATTTCTAATGAAGTGTAAAGCAGGGAACAAGATAATCACGCTGTTTTTGCCTTCTATATTCCATTATTGACATCAGATGAAAAAATGTTTTTTTGGTACATAAGAGTTTTAAAGTACCTCGAAATGACCTGCTAACCGTCTATATTGTCCAAAAAGATATCCCATTTCTCGAGTACCAACTCCCATCTCCTCAGAAGGAAGGTCCTGATAAGAATTACAACTTAGCACATCACATTATATGCTGAACCTTGAACCTGAACATTTACATAGATATTCAATGAATAAAAAGCCAATTTTCTCCATTTACCTTATCAGGGCCCAAGTACCGATATATCTCGTTTATGAAACTTTGACAAAAGCGCATAATCTGCTGAGTTATAAGAGGCTTTTACAATTTGTAGAAATGTTAGAAATAGAGGACGTCATATAACAGTATACAGTTTACCTCATTATCACTTTTTCCCTTCGGGTCAAAATCACTTCCACCTGCTGCCCCTCCTAATTTGTACGGTGATAATGCATTTTTTAAAGTCTGTAGAGGGACCAAAAATTTTGTATGAAACAAACTTCGTTAAAGATCTTTTAGAAAAATTAGGGAGGTTCCTCTGTGTCAAGTTATAAAAAGAATTTCAATTAACATATAAAGAAATGACGTTGTAGCTACAAAATATATATAGATATCGTAGAGCTTGCACCAAGGAAAGAAAGGAAACTGCATTATCCCCAAAAGGCCTCTCTTCTCCGAAATAAATTCTTCTTTTTCTCTTGAGCCGAAGGGTCCAATGAAAAAGTTATCCATAAGAATTAGCCAAAAAGATTAGATTCTTTCTTGACAGAATAACTAGAATGATTTGATACGTTTAAGAATGGTTTCTTTCCACAAGAGAGAATTTAGCAAACATTTCCAAAACCATGCTGCATAGAAACGGTTTTACTAAGTCTCCTCAGTTTTGCACAAATAACACCAGGCTGGGGAAAGATAGTTGGGATGCCTGCCTCTGTAGGATGAACATGTATGATAAATCTGTTAGGATTTCAATTGTCATTCTTTCTTAGGATGGTGAACTGTTGTCTTACTTCATATTGAATAAAAGATCAAGATGATAGAAGACAAGAATGAGAATGTAGTACGTTCCAGTGGAGAGCATCACCCTATGTGAGGAGAGTTTTTACCCAATTCGTTGATTTTTGTCCAAAAGAGGATTTATTGTTAGCTTAATGGAAGTATTTGTTTTTTAACAAAAGTATTTCTTTTTACCCCCACCCACCAGCACACACACAAGGGAGCTGACAACCTTAAATCCATATAAAATTTACAAGAAGGTAATCAACTAGGATATGATTATGTTACATTTCCTCATGCCTTTTAGAAACGACCAGCAGCCCTTGTTCTTAAATTTCCTTCAACCAAAGGAAACTTTATTGACTACTTTGCAATACACCATCACAAACCACTACTCCCTAATACCTGGCCACAGGCGCATCAAGACATCAAATCAAATTTTACTTCAAAGAAATTGCAGTAACCCCAAGTGAATATAATCAGCCTTTACCCATTTATAAGAAAATTAGACCAGATCTATACTGACAATGTGACATTTAACAACAGAATACCCCTTTTTCAAATAGGAAAAGAATAACAGTATCCAGTTCGCTACCTGTTCAAAACCAAGAAACTTGGTGATACTTAAGTTCATCGATGGATGAAAACGAAGACCACCCCTACAAGGTCCCAAAGCCTGGTTAAATTGAACTCGAAATCCTCGATTGACTTGTGTCTCACCTCTATCATCCACCCATGGAACTCGGAAAAGAACCATGCGCTCAGGTTCTAACAAGCGCTCCATAATGTTCACATAGCTGAAATAATAAGACTTATAATTCCCTCTCTTTAATTGTAAATAATGGAGCATCACAATATTATATATTCAAGGTAAACTTACTGAGAATTTTTGGCAATAACCCGTTCTAAGGCATGAACTGTTTCTTGTACTGCCTGTATGAACTCAACTTCGTGAGGATCCCTTTTTAGTGCAGCTTCAATGATCGATCCAGCAGATTTTGACATGATAGCTTCATTAGCAGATAATGACCATAAAAAGACAAATGTAAGAAAATATTACAAAAAAGCTTCATATTTATTAGTGCAAGTATGAGAATGGTAAAAAGCACACACAAAATCTTCAAAATGTTAATTTTATCATTAGTGCAATGGGTCAACAAGAAGTCTCAAGAATGTTATCCTTTTTCTCTATAGAACAGTGGCCTCCAAAGTTGAAAACCTAATTTCACCGAAAGATTGGGGAGAAATGACATAAAGAACATCAAAATGTGAAAAACCCTACCTTTTACATATATTGGTTTATCAACAATAATCTTGTCCTTGGAGGCCATCTGAAGTCGAAGAGCCTCTTTATGAAGTAGACTGTTATTGTGTTCTTCAAGTGCACTCATCTGCATATTTCGGCTGCCTTCATTTCCATAAGGATTTCTCCTGTGCTTCCTGCCATACTCCTTACAAACAGAGCAAAAAATCCTGGCAGTTCCATCCTTCACATCAACATAAGCCCACTTATACGTATCAGCCCATTCCTCTCTCCACCTTTTCACAACCTTCTTCTTCCTTTTGGATGGTTGGGTCTTTGACATATCTTGGTCATCATTGGAAAGTTGAGAAACCAATACCACATGCTTACTCTCGTCATGATCTTCAGAAGATGGTTCTCGTGCAGGTCCACCAATTATAGGAGTGCTAGCATATGATGGATCATCATCTCCAGGTCCAATTTCCAAATCAATCTCTTCGCCAATCTCTCGAACTACCAAGTGATGCCTCTGTGCCTGCTGAATCAAGTTCATATCATCCATAGAGGTATTCATACCTAATCCACCAACCGGAAGCAACATCCAGCATGTCAATTTCGCCTGTTCCTAGAAATATTTTTTTCTGCTGGAATAGAAGGAAACCATATCACTCTAAATTCCGAAAGAACTTTTAGATTCTAAACACTAATCTACGGGGCTGAAGAAAATATCATGGTACGTAGGCTTCCAGAAAATATAGAAGTACAAGTCGTCAAAGTCGACTGAGTTTTACAATTCTCCACATAATCTAGGGCATGATTTCACCATTCTTTTTTCCAAACTTCGGCTGCCTTTAATCTAAGCAAAAATGTCACAAAATCTTGAATTACCAGCAATTCATAAAGACATAAATTAGAATCAGTACCCAAAAAGCTAAAGAAAAACCCAGTGTGGAAGCTGTTTCCCGATCTTTAAACATTCAATATATCAAGATTCAGGAAATGAACTGCAAAGTTCGGCCATAATTTCACTATTGAAGACTTACAGTATCTTAGTGGACACCCAAGCAGAAATTCCTTGGCCCAAGCTTCCTATTCCTTGCTCCAGCTACAAGAATCCCAGTAGACAAAAACCGAAGAGTGAGATCGAACACCTGTGAGTGGGTTCTCTAATCAGTCACTGCCGACGAAACTTCTGGCAGGGCAGGGCAGGGCAGGGGATAAGAGGGATAAGCTTATTCCAGTGGCGCGTGGAATCGAATTCTCATGAAAACAAAGAGCAATAGAGAAATTGGGAATGGATTCTGAGCAGAATTTGAGGGAGAAAATGAAGTTGATCCCTGTGACGCGTGCTTGAAGAAGAACAATGTGCAAATACAATCTTTCCCTTTTTCCAGTTTTTACTTTCTTTCTTCGTCCCAGAAATTAGACACTTTTTTTTTTTTTTTTAGATTTATTATCTTTCTTTCATCTCCTCCTCTTTTATCCTTTCGAACAGTCTGTTGGAAATAAATTTTGGAAAAAGATTTTAAAATAAAAAGTACATTAAAAATATGTTAATTTAAAATTTACTTTTAGAAAATATAGATCCACTTTAAAGTGATTGAATAAAAATATTTTAATATATAATTAATAAAATCACTTTCTTTATTTATTTATTTATATATATATACAATTTTTTCCTCTACTTAAAAAAATTGATAATAATATACTAAAATTTAAAAAATGGAATGTATTTTAAATAGACATTCATTAAAATAATCCTTGAAAGGTTACAATAACTCCTTTTAACTTTTAGCGTTAAACTTTAAAAAAAGATTTCAAAATACATTTTTATCCTTTTTTTTTTTAGGTTGAAAATATAGCCATTTAAAAATATACACATAAACTTTCAAAAAATGGAGATGATCTCGGAGGTATAAATAGACGTTTTGTTTGTATATTAATATAAAAAAAATTAAAACTTTTTTTAAAAAGATTAATGGTATTAATGCTACTTGGTATTTTTTAGATATTATATTAATGTTAACCGTATTTTTTAAGTTTTTTAAAAAAATTAAGGAATATTGATGAAACTTTTTAAAATTAAAAGTATTTTTGTGACAAAAATACAAAATTTATGAACTATTTTACACATTTTATTCATAAAAGTCAGTCTGTCATTAATTATAAGTATAATAAATACATATAGAAACAAAAAATATATATATATATATAGAGAGAGAGAGAAGTAAGTGATCCTTGCTTTCTTTATCCTCCCATTTTTAGGGTATAAAGAGAATCACATGCGTTTGACTCGATTGGTACCCAATTTCATTTGTTGTGTTATTCTTTCAATATTCAATAATCAATGTCTATTTTTCGACTGGTCTCAGGAGACCACCGGAGGAGCACTTTCCTCTTTTATGTTTGTTACAATAAATAATGGCTTACCATATGTAACAATTATACGGAGACATGGTTTGAATAAGACCACAACTTGTTAAGGTGTACAAAGGAGCAACGCTAAAGTTGCCTAAATGGTCAATTTAACAAAGAGACCCTTCAGAATTCATTTCTCAAACTTCTCAAACTTTAGGACTACAATGAGTGTTTTGAACAAAAAAACGTGAACCCATTTTTTCTTTCTTTCTAGTACTCAAATTTAAGTTTGAATTCAACGGTAATATACCAAAGCATGTTGAAGTTATGCTACTTACTTATACGAATTAAGGGGATATGATTTTTCATAGGAACTTTATATTATATAAAGGAAAAGAAATTTGAACCCACAGTACATAATACATACAGATTACCAAGCAAGCTGCAAATATAACTCTAAAGTTAATTAGTATGGAATATTTCCTCATAGCCCTTCATCACTGTTTTTCGTTTGGTGATGAATCAAACCCTATGCTTTTACCAAAATGCACAGAAGGCTCCCAAAGTAGCCGCATACAAGTTATTTGGTCTATCCTATTCTGCAATTTCAGGCCATAAAACTGACCTGATATACCTTCAGTTTCTGCAATGTTCACAATCTTGGCGTCCTCCAAGAAATGGCACCAGCATTTTCTGTTTGAACTGTTGCAGCCGCAGCAGCTTGGGTCCGCTACTCCTTTTATTTTGCGCAACGCCTGCATATTAACAGTAGCTTGTCAATGTTTAATGCAGAAAATGTAGTGTAAGGTTTTGTGAGATCCCACATCTATTGAGGAGGAGAACGAAGCATTCTTTATAAGGGTGTGGAAACATATCCCTAATTGACACATTTTAGAAAACCTTGAGGGAAAGTCCGGAAGGGAAAGAGGACAATATCTGCTAGCGGTGAGCTTGAGCTGTTACAAATGGTATCAGAGTTAGACACTGGGTGATGTGCCAGTGAGGAGGCTAAGCCCCAAGGGGGGTGGACACGAGGCGGTGTGCTAGCAAGGACGTTGGGCTCCGAAGGGGGGTGGATTGAGGGGTCCCACATCGATTGAAGAAGGGAACAAGTGCCAGCGAGGATGCTAGGCACCCAATCGGGGCGGATTGTGAGATCTCACATCTGTTGGAGAGGAGAACGAAGCATACTTTATAAGGGTGTGAAAACCTCTCCCTAATAGACACGTTTTAAAAAACCTTGAAAGAAAAGCCCGAAAGAGAAAACCCAAAGAGGACAATATCTGCTAGCAGTGGGCTTGGGCTGTTACAAGTTTGTACAAAGCTAATTAACGTGTGCTTGGCTAAGATGAAAGATTTACATTTGGAACATCACTGCTAGGAGATGACACTACAATTATCCTCTCCGGGTGCCATGTCGTCAACAAACCGTCTAATAAATCTTTGGGATCTGTAGATGACTTGATTACATGAAGCTTGAGATGGGGGAGAGGAGGAAGGAGGATGTCTTTGCTCTCGTCATGAATTATAATATTCTTGATTCACAATCACATGCAAGAAAGAGGAAACATACGATGCGTTAAGCTTGTTGTTAGCAGGAACAAGTATGCAAAAACAGGAGCAGCTCATTGTTACCTTATGAAACCAGACGATGATCGTAAAACCTTCACAATAATATCGAAGAAAAGAATGGATGACTAAATTTCGACACGGAATATCAGCTGCACCGTCTTTCTCATTCAAACCGAAAGAAAAAATTGCCTCCTTTAGGCACAACTGACCGAGCATAAAAACCATCTTGTGGCCTTTATAGTCTAATGAACAAGGATTTACAGTACCAATATCAACCATTTTCAGATTGTTGCAACTTCTCAAGCCTAGACTCCGGAGCTTGACATTTGATATCTCAATATGCTTTAACTTGTTGCATCTGCTGAGTATCAATTTCTCGAGGGCTGGAAAGCTGAAAAGTAGCTTATTAAGGAAAGTATCTGTCATAGATGGGTTCTCTAATGTCAACCTCTTCAAGGATGTGCAGGACTCTAAGTTAAGTTTACAACGTGAAGAATTCTTTGCACAAAACCAAAATGTGTTCAGACTAGTAACTTGGAGCTCAACCCTTCTTAGACCATGACATTGATACATGTCAACCCTTTCGAGCTTTCGAAAACCTGAAATCTGCAAATTTTTTAATCCTCGACATTCTACAATTCTCAAATCCATAATTAAAGGACTGGTAGAAGCCAATTTCTCGATCATCTGCTGATCTACGTATAGTCTTCGAAGATACAGCTTTCGCAAATTATTGAACTCTAAAGCTGCAAAACTTGACCATTTAAGACCATGCAATCTCAATCCAGTTAGAGTCTTGATAGAGTTCATAAATGGTGGCACAATGTAATGTCTGGGTGACTTCTCAACATGGATATCTAGCTCACCTAAACCGTTTGCCCCCGCAATGCCAACCCACCGATTCAGATACAGGATGAGCTTTGGCGTTACACGGAACACTAGCTTGTAAATGCCAAAGTTTCGTGTAAGGTGGCTTAGCAAGGAGTTATCAATGGAGTTAATAAACATCTGCCTTCGCAGATCACTACCGAGATCGACTTCTGTCTTGAGAAAGCTTTGTTCATCAAATGTTAATATGGAGAAAGACTTCCATGCATCTCTCCACTTTTTCGACAGGATACTCGTTCGAGCAGCCTCCTTTGCACTTCGAATGAATGACAAGATATGATGAATAACAGATTCAGGCAACTCTGAGATCATATCAACTGACTCAATCTCTTGCTCAACTGTTTTCACACCCTTATTCTGCTTCTTTCTAATCCCATCTATATTTTCGATGTCGTTTCTCTTTCTCTTCCTTCTTGAAAAAGGTACTCGTGAGAACAATGTCAAACCATCATGTTTGGTTTGCAAATCATCCATATCACCTGAGGTTTATATTTATTTGTGAACAAACGTAACAGCCCTAGTCCCCACCGGCAGATATTATCCTTTTTGGGCTTTCCCTTCAGATTTTAAAGCGTGTTTACTGGAGAGAGATTTCCACACCCTTATAAGGAATGTTTCGTTCTCCTCTCCTCTCCAACCAATATGGGACAACAAATCTCTTCTCCATCAATAATGGTTGAAGAAAATTATGAATAGCAGCCCCTGTTTATCGTTGTCAAATGAACACAGAAGCTAAAAGCAGACAACAACAAAAAAAAGTGAAGGAACGAAAAATCAGAACATCTAGAACTTAAAGAGCAACCCAGAATGAGAAGCAAGAAGAAAGAAAAATTATGCAGTTCATCACAAAAGTATCCGTAAGAGATCAAAATCCAAACTAACTATAGGAAGGATTATCAGTGTTCATAACTGTTAAAAACCATTTGTTCAAATTCAAGCCGGCAAGACCAATCAGTCGCTACAAGAATTCCATAATTCAAAGATCATAAACAGCCACCGGCACACGATCCCCATTAAGAACTCCATCAGAGAATTAAAAAATTCTCTCAGAAAACAAATGCATTGACCCGATATCCACCCAACTTGGCATTTAGAGAGAAACAATAAATAACGTAAAGTTGAATGGCGTTGAATTTGAGATGAACTGTGAAAAGAAGAAGAACAATTCACCTTGTCAATTGTTTTGAGGGAGATTCTTCAAAGTTTCAACAAAGCAGAGAATCAACGGAGCAGAAAGCGAATTAAATTAGGTCGTTCCTTGTTAATCAAGCATCGCAAGAAAGGGCTTATACATTTGGGAAGAATTTCAATGATTTGGAAAGATAAATATAAAATCTTTTAAATCAATTTTTACCCTTTTTTTTAGTTGTCCAACAGAATTTATGTTTACGTCAATATTTTCAGAATTTTATTTTATTAAAATAAGATAAAAAAATTTAATATAGTAATGTCATTTAATTTTCATCAATTTTCATAATTTATTTGAACTAAGGTTATATTTTTAATATAAAGTAAAATTTTCCCTTTTGGTGCATATCTTCCTCGATTTTAATGTTTATTGTTCTTTTTTGGGATCGTACGTTGTTGTGTCTTATCTTTCAGCTTTTTTATTTTTATTTTTTTTTGTTTGGAGTTTTCGCTTTTAAATATTCTCAGTCCTTTTTATTTTTTAAAAAAGATTGTAATTTCCCATAAAATAAAGAGAAAAAGGTAAATAGATTATTAAAAATACTGCTTTTTTAGAGTCTCACATACTAATATTTAGTGGTATTTAATTAATTAAAATGTCTCAACTTTTCTTCCAATATAAATAATTGACAAAATTTATAAATCCAAAGAGATTATTGAGATAGAGTTACTTAGGATCGTTTATAAACCCACGATCAATCATCAATCATCCAACACATTCGACTCTCTACAAATGGTATGATATTGTCCACTTTAAGCACAAGTTCTTATGACTTTGCTTTGGGCTTCCTAACATGGCCTGCTTCTAGGAAAAGGTTTCTACACCCTTATAAACGGTGTGTCATCTTCCTCCCCAACCAATATGGGATATCACATCATTTCATTAATCATATTTATTTTTGAATGATACGAGTGTAGAAAAGATGTAATTTATATTATTATTTCTTTTGTACTTTTATATGAAAGTGACTATTTTGTCTCATTATATATTTTTGTCATTTAAGTTATATCATTCGAATTCTTCACGTATTTAATAAAAATAAACTTTGCTTATATAAGTAAGTTGTTACGCCCCAGTGGAATTTTGAATTCTTCAAGTATTTAATAGAAAGAAACGTTGCTTAAATAAGTAAGTTGTTATGCATAGGTGGAATTGTGTGTAATTATATTCTAAACTTTATTTTATTTTACTATTAGTATTTAATCCAAAAATGAATATTATATTATAAATAATTTTTAAAAATAGTTTTAACGTTCCCTTTAAATTAATTTTTATTTAATTAAACCATTTCATTAAAAAAAAAAAAAAAGTATTACAAAGAATAGAATTATGAGTGAATTTTTTAAAGTAAAATATTAAAAATTTTAACCAAAATTTTATTATTTTAAATCATTGAAATCCGACACGTTGGAAATGCAAATGATTACGTGGAAGAAGAGGTGCGGACGCCACTCTGTAAGTGAATTTTCTTATTAATTCTGACAGAGTAGCGCTCTTCACCGTTTCTTTTCTTCTTCAACTCTTAATTTCACTCTTTCAATCTCTTGTTTCTGCAGCGAAGCCAATAATCATGGCTTCCCTCAGGTGGGTTTCTTGGATTATGATTGCACATTTGTTTGTTTTAACATTTGTGTATCCAGATTCTTCATCCGACTCAAATAAGCTCAAAGAAATTCCTAAAAAGTTCCTCCAATTTGCTAAGGAACCCGAGCTGTTTGATTGGATGGTGGGAATCCGTAGGAGAATTCACGAGAACCCAGAACTTGGTTATGAGGAATTCGAGACCAGTAAGTTGATTAGAACAGAGTTAGATAAATTGGGCATTTCTTATAAATACCCAGTTGCAAATACTGGCGTCATCGGCTATATTGGTTCTGGTCAGCCCCCTTTTGTGGCCATTCGAGCGGATATGGATGCTCTTGCCATGCAGGTTTGAATCGATTGGTTGACATAAAGAACTCTTTTCTGATTGCTTATAGTTGATATTTCAATGTAGAGTGAAATTTGCACGCCAGGTGTTTGATTAAATGCTAAAACATCGATGATCGTACTCTTGTTCTGTTCGTTATATTTTGATGCTTTGACAATGAATTGAACAGAAATTTTCCAGGATTTTTTTGAATTTTTTAGTGAGTGAAACTTGGTTCTTACAGGAATTGGTGGAGTGGGAGCATAAGAGTAAGGTTCCTGGGAAGATGCACGCCTGTGGTCACGATGCTCATGTTGCGATGGTATTAGGTGCTGCAAAGATCATTCAAAAGCATAGTGAGGAGTTGAAAGTAAGTATGCATCTCGTGGATTAATTTCCCTACAAATGTGTTAGGTGCAAACAAAATCCCTACAAAAAAGCAAGTATGCTTTGATTTTATTCACTCAACAGGGGACAGTTGTACTAGTTTTCCAACCAGCTGAAGAAGGAGGTGGAGGCGCTAAGAAAATAATAGAAGCTGGAGTGTTGGATAATGTTAATGCCATCTTTGGCTTGCATGTTGCTCATTATATACCTCTCGGTGAAGTGGCTGGCCGGCCAGGACCCATGTTAGCTGGTAGCGGCGCCTTTGAAGCTGTTATCAGGGGAAAAGGAGGCCATGCTGCAATTCCCCAGCATTCTATAGACCCAATTGTGGCTGCATCTAACGTGATTGTTAGCTTACAACATCTTGTTTCAAGAGAAGCTGATCCACTAGATTCCCCGGTAAGCTATCTTTTCCTATTTTGTTTGGATGAATTATGCAGTCAAGGTATCAGATTGTTAAACATTTCATGAAAACCTTACCAACAACATCTACAAAAGCTAATCTTGCAAGCATTCCCTTAACATGAGGGGGGGTTGCTTATGAGTTCCTGTAATTGAGGCACACAAGAATGTCATTATTTTATTTTATTTTTTCTAAGAAGCATGGATACAATATTGTCTGAAGAGTTAGATCAGGTGTGAGATCCTACATCGATTGGAGAGGGGAACGAAGCATTCCTTATAAGAGTGTGGAAACGTCTCCCTAGTAGATACGTTTTAAAGCCGTGAGGTTGATGGCGATACCTAACAGACCAAAGCGGACAATATTTGCTAAAAGTGGGCTTGGGGCGTTACAAATAGTATCAGAGCTAGACACCAGGTGGTGTGCCAACGAGCACATTGGCCCCCAAGGGGGGTGGATTGTCAGATTTCACATTAGTTGGAGAGAGGAACGAAACATTTCTTGTAAGAGTGTGTAAACCTCTCCCTAGCAGACGCATTTTAAAATCGTGAGGCTGACAGCGATACGTAACGGACCAAAGCGGACAATATCTACTAGCGGTAGACTTGGGCTGTTACATCAGGGAATGCATTGTCCTCTCCATGTTCCTATTTTCTTAAAATAGTTACACGTATATGGTGTTAATGTATTTATTTGTTGGGCTGTTGCTGCATTACCCTTGTGCTCAATCCTCTGCTTCTAAATATATTTGCGAGGAGGGTTGCACTGACAATCAAATAGCTTGCTTTTATTGCAAATAAGAAATCCTATTCACACAGTGGAACGTGCAGGTAGTAACAGTTGCTAAGTTTCAAGGAGGTGGTGCACTCAATGTAATTCCAGATTCTGTCGCAATAGGTGGCACTTTCCGAGCTTTCTTGAAGAGTAGCTTGATTCAACTTAAGCAACGTATTAAAGAGGTATACAAATTTGAGTTGCAAAGTGAACACTTTCACTGACTTCATCAGCGTTTTTTTAACTTAAAAGGCTGTTTGGCATTTGACACTCAATTTCTGAGAACAGAATGGTCTTTAGGATTACCATTAACATAATAATGTACTCAAGTTAGATGAAAAGTGATATTTGCTAGAGTAATTGTGAGATGTCACATTGGTTGGAGGGGAGAATGAAACATTTGAGTGTGGAAACCTCTCCCTAACAGACGCGTTTTAAAGCCGTGAGACTAATGGTGATACGTAACGAGCCAAAGTAGACAATATCTGCTAGCAGTGGACTTGGGCTGTTACAAATGATATCAGAGCCAGACATTGGGCGGTTGGCCAGCGAGGACACTAGGTCCTCAAGGGGGTGGATTGTGAGATCCTACATCGGTTGGAGAGAGAAACAAAACCTTCCTTATAAGGGTGTGGAAACCTTTCCCTAGTATTCACGTTTTAAAACCGTGAGGCTGATGGCGATACGTAACGAGCCGAAACAAACAATATGTATTAGCGGTGGGCTTGGGTTGTTACACTCATTATCAATTATTACATCTTAATATGCCATCTTAATATGTTAATCTTTGACATGATAGTCTCATTTGCTCCTTTTATAGGTTATCACCGGACAAGCTGCCGTGCACAGGTGCAATGGGACAGTCGATTTTTTCGAGATTGAGATACCTCTTTTCCCTCCAACCGTGAATGATAACGAGTTGCACGAACACTTCCAAAATGTTGCAGGAGATATGCTTGGCATTGACAAGGTCAAGGACATGAAACCAGTTATGGGATCTGAAGATTTTTCGTTTTACCAAGAGATGATCCCGGGGTACTTCTTCTTTCTTGGAATGAACAATGAAACGTTGGGTCAGCTCGATTCCGCGCATTCCCCTTACTTTCGTATCAATGAAGATGCACTCCCTTATGGCGCAGCTCTTCATGCATCATTGGCTACAAGATATCTCCTTGAACTCCCCTCACAAGTTACTTTCCCAGACGAAAAACGACACGATGAGTTGTAAGTTGCCTATCGACCCGCTTGATTATTTGATCTCATTGAGCTGGTACTAATGTCAATCCCCTACCACAGCATCTGTATTCTGTTCTTTCCATTTAAGCTTCATCTGTTGTTGTACCTACCAGAAATCAATCAGCCCAAATGTTCCAAGAAGGTGAAACGCTCACGTTTCCTTTTCTTGTGATGGATTTCTCTTACATTTATGGAATAATCATGATCATGTGCACAAAAAGTTCTTTTTTTTTCTCCCATCTTAGTAACTTGACTCTCTAGAACCCGAGACCCTTAGATCGACTTGGGTTTGTTACTAAATATATGTTGACGCCATTTTAAAGTCATAAACTTATGGGATAACTAAGTTTTGTTCGGGGTATTTTTTAGAAGCAAATTAAATAAAAATGCATTCAAATAATTTTTATTGTAAGCCTCATTTCAATTATTTACTTTAAAATGGTCCATGTAATCGCAAAGTAAAGTAACCACGAGTCGAGTGACTTAAAATAGTTTAAAATTGGTTTACTTATATTCACATAGATGAGTAGTTACCTAAGTCAAAATCATAAAATAATGGTAAAATTCCTTTACTTACGCACTTAAAGTAATTGTTTCAGAGATAACATTGAAATTTTCATGTTCACATACGTAATTATCTTGCATTCTAATATAATTCTTATGTGTGTAAATAAGTAATTATCTTATGTTTTGGTGCATACAAAAGGATTCATGTTGATTCAAAATATCATCTTATGTATGCACAACTCGTCACAACAATTCATAAAACGACTACATGCACATGGAAGTGTCTTACTCCTAAATTGACTAAAGCAAAATGTGCCTAAATCAACGTGAAAACCTGGTTGGAAAGTCTATCATAAAATCTAGTAATTAATGATTTAATTTTTAATAATAGTTTTAATTATTTTATTTTTAATTTAATATTATTTATTATATTAAAAATCAAAGTTATTAATGTAATCTTCAACCGTGGTTGACATACAGAAGAATTATGTTCAAATAATAACCTAAAGAGTTTATAATATATGTATAAAGTTGGGCGACTTGTCCCAGTAAATACCTTAGTATGACCCACTCTATAATTATTACAAATGAGAATATTTTATATTATGAGTTTGTATAAGTCTGAACCCAGCAATATTCTCTAAGTCCATTAATTGAGAATATTATGCAACTCTATCTTAATCTTGAATTAGTTATGAACTTCTATGAAGGCTCGTCCTTTGATTTGCAGGAGTGAAAATAGCTTTTATACCTGTTTCAATATGCCTACCATTTTGGAGACTTGACCAAACTCAAACCTGAGTTGGATGACGTTTGGACTAGTGGCTCTCCAAGTGAAGGTAGTTTGAAGTAAACAGTGGAGACCGGATGAAGTCCATGGAAAATTTTATCCAAGGCATGCCTTTGAGAGATGTCTCTCAAAGGCGATTTCAATGACATAATAAAGGCTTCTATGATCTGTGAAGGTTTAGGCTATTTCTCCGTGCAAGTAATGCCTCCAAATCTTTTTAGGACAAACTCTACTGTTACTAACTCCAAATCATGCATTAGTTAATTACACCCATAATATTTCAATTGTCATGGTGGGTAAGCACCAACCTTATCATGTTGCATTATAATGCAACTAAATCTTTTCTTTGAGGCATTGCTATATACTACGAAACCGGCACTGTAAGCATTAGAGCCAAAACGAGTCTTTGCTTGAGCTCTTAAAAACAATCATTAATCTTCGCTCCAAGTGAACAAAATCTCACTCTTAGTCATCTAAGTAAGGGTAGGTATCTTGGAGAAGTCCTTAACAACCTAGACCGACCTAGGTTCTAAAACCCTAGACCAATTCGAGTTAATTATCAAATGCATATTGACATTATATTTAAATCGGACAACGAAAACATGCAAATCGCGAACTCATACAGAAACAATTGAAACAAATCAGAAAATAATGGAAGATAGAAATCTCTCCATAAAACAATTTGAGGGCAGTTTCACATGAGAGATAACAACCCTAGCACGTCGTTTTCCTTATCTAAAATACCTTTAGAAATTTCGAGTATTTGAAAATATTCACGACATAACTCTTATATTGGGTTTAGATATGCATACATACACCACAAAATATAGCAAAGTCAAAATACCTAAAAATAGTTTAAAACTATTTAACTCTCACAAATGAATAATTATGTACGTCAAAATTACAACACAGTGTTATAATTTCCATGCACATAAATAGGTAATTGTCACAACCTCATATCACAAGGAGGTGGTATAGTTTCGTGCATGCAAATAGGTAATTACTCTCAATATCATGTCACGCTATTCAATATAATTCTCATGCACACATATTGGTAATTGTTTTATGTTCTAATGTAATTTTTATGCATATAGATAGTAATTATTAAATTTTTGCATGCAAACTGTTTAAATTTTCATCCATACAAAAGGTCACGTATTGATTCAAAATATCATTTGCACGAATATCATAACAATTCATAAAACAACTATATGCACACATATCTAACAATATGATAACAGTAAAGACCTAGTTATTCATATATTCGGATGTGATCTAACAAACTTTATTGAACAACAAAATCATTAAATCTAAATTATTGAACAACCCAAAAAAACGATAAAAATCAACTCAAAATAAAGTTTGGAACAAATTACCTTGATAACCAAGATCAAAGAGTAAAGAAAACTCGTTTCTAAGTTCATAATTTGAATCACTCGACAAGATAAATTGATCAAAATTACTTGAATGACTTTATCTTGCAAATTTAAACACAAGAAATGCTAAGGAACACGTTCATGACTTAAAAAGCATCTGCGACTTCATTTTATTATCCAAAATCTTGATGGTAAATGAACAACATGAATACTATTTATAGCCTTAAAAATAAACACAAGAATAACATGTGATCAATTGAGAAGTAGTAGCTCTTATGACTATCAATAACATAATAACATAATGATCACTAACTAATTGTAACTTAAACCTTGAAAATAATACTCTAAAATTGAAAATACAATAAAACCTCACTAAATTCGAACATGTATGGTACAATCTTGTCATCCACCATGAAGTCTTTGTGGCATGATTAAGACATCTTATTCCATGTCATGAAACCAACATGGATTGCGGTAAATTGAGTTGAATGACTTGAAGTCTTGTGAATACCCATGAACCAACCAGGTTGAACCGCACTAACCATTGACCAAACCATTGATTAGATCATTGACCGTTGACTAAACTGGATTAAACCACATTAATCAAACTAACTAGACTGTTGATTCTTCTTCTTGGTCTCTTGGTGATGATGGTTGAACATAGTGGTGACAACGACGAGAGCTCTCCAAACCTGTCCAACACAAAGAGGAATACAAGAGAGAGGGCACGGAGAGAAAAATGGGTAACTTCTAGAGACTCACTAAAGATTGCACGAGTTCTACCGACAAGTCAGAAGAACAGGTCAAACTCAACCTTTGACCTGATTGACTTATGTAACGATTCGCGTCTTAAAAGAATAGAATAACAAGTCAAATGGATAAAACCAATGGGACAACCATCATAATATCCCCTCTTTTCTTTTCTAAAGTTGCAATGCTGTTCCGAAGAACCTGAAACCAAATTCAAATTCTTACCTAAACCAGTAACAAATATTTATTCCTTTGATGGTGAGGTGAGTGCATAATCAGATGATTTCTAAAGTGTATAAAATGTTATGGTGTTTATGTCAGCTTTGTATAACTAAAAGAAGAGGAGAAGAGTGGAGAAACTATAATTCTCTAAACTAGGATTAATGAGAAGTCCCATTAGAACCTCTTCTAAAAATGAAACAATTCTCTGAAGCCTAGATTTTGTCAAAACCCCATAACGTTGTGAGCTACGTCTAACAACCGATCTAAGGCACTTGGAGCAAATTTTCTAGCAAAAAGAAAACAGAAAGAAGGTTGACCATTGTTAAGGCATCTCTTGTTTTCAAAAAGATTTTTAATAAACTGTTCTGTGATATCATACTTTCCAAATGTAGCAGGATGAGCACCACCCCTGGACCAGTCCACAAAGGTAAGGCTTCTGTTTGCCAGAAGATTTGGCGACTCCATGCTCAACATTGTTTGGAAGTAGTGTTCGTCGACATAACAAGTTGGTTTGCAATACTTTTTAAACAAAGAGTAGTACGTTTTATCTTTAACTATCTTCACCGCGAGTTCACGAGTGACTTCGAACCATTGATAACCCTTGCGCCAGTTAGTGAGGTTTATCTTAGGTGCCATGTTCTTGTTGTAGCGTCCTCTTCCATAGGGTCCTGGATCATCGAACGAGTGTACAAAGCTGTGGCGAGATCTCGCAAGATAGTCGTACACCATGGTAAAGCTGTGGAGAGGGACACAAGCCTCGGACAGGAGAATAAACCATTCGTTGGAGATATCAAGCAATGCATTAGCTAGCAGTCTCCTCTCAGCATCACACAAATTCATTTCGCCCCACTCTGTAACCTACACAGAGAAAAACCAGTGTGAATGTTCTAGCTCTCAATTAGACAACAGAACGAGAATAGAAGGTGAAAAGTTTAATCTTAGGTAAGTAAACACTGTTAAATGGTTCTTATGATAAGTTGAAAAGAAAATTTCAATCAAAAGATTCAATTCAATATTCTCCGAGGGCGAAAGGATCAGCAACAAGTGTGAAATGAATCTTAAACAGACTCGGGACACTTTCGACCAAGAAAAAGCTACGAAAAACAATATTATCATCCTACAAGCTCAAAAAAAAGTCTCTTCTTCTTAAAGAAAATTCTATGGTTTCCTTCTAACGAAACAGTCCAAAGAAAATTAAGCCAAAACATAGCTATGAAAGTATGCCTTCCAAAAGAAATAAGGCAAAGCAATGGATTAATTCAAGCAAGCATACAATTCTGAGAGGTCAAATGGGAACTACTCCATTAGCTTTATTACAAAACATCATCCAAATTCTAACAAAGGATCAAAGAATATCCACAAGAATATTCAGTTTTCATACATTTCTTGCTTTTTCATGAAATAAATCAAAAAGGGCCTTAAAAGAGGAACACTATAGGAATTTATTCTTTCACCAGAAAAGTACAAAAAGAAGCTAGTACCTGACTTGGGATCTGTCTTCTATAAAACACTGAGGAGGGCAGGAAGTCAGCAATGTATGATGGGTTAGCATGAATATAAATGGAATAAAGCCCCTCATGACCCTTGAAGAACCGTTCCCAAAGAGGGGCCATCGGCAAAGGCCCTTTTGTCAAGAACATAAAAGCAATCTTGCGAACTCTGTTGAAGGGATACTCTTTTCCTTGAGGAACCAAGGAAGCCCGCCATAGTAGCTCTTGATCGCTCATACTGTGAAGGAGATTTGAAGAAGGACTGATCCAACTATCTATGTCACTTAGCCCTTCCACGCCAGGCTGAACAATATTGAAGGACGATGCTACAGGGGCAGCACTTCCAACTCCAAAATATTTAATGGTATTCATACTAATAATCGAAACCAAAAGACCGAGTACTATGAAAATTAAGAAGAACTGAAGAGACCTCACTGTAGGATATCTCGTTTGATTAATTCGAATTACAGTGCCAAAATCCTTTCCGTCCTCCATTACCACTAATCTTCAATGCATTAATAACCTCAAATCCAACAAAAATTGTTCAACATCACACTCTTACACCTAAAACCAAACGGAAAACACCAAACCTTCAAGCTACGCATCATATGGCATAATGAAATCAGTCCTATCGACAATGCCTACGAAGTTAAACCACAAGAAAACATTTCAAAATTAAACACCACAAACTTCACTACTGCGCAAAATCAAATGGAATAAGTTCGTCACCCTCAGAACATCATATATGTCATGGCAGTATGAAAAAATCGGAGTACAGAGCAAATTATTACCTTGTTCAACGGCTGTACAATGGCAATGGCGACTGAAACTTTGAGGATCGATTCCTCTGGTTGAAATTCAGTGGTGAAGAAGAAGAAGTAGAAGAAGAAGAAGAAGAAGAGAAGAATGGAAGGAGGGAAATCTGGTGAGAAAACCTAGAAAACCGGACAGTCAATATTCGTCATCGGTGGTGAAGGGACTATTGTTTTCAAATTTAATATGCTTTGAAGGGCATGCATTAAATTAATTTAATATTATTACTTCTAAATTTATAATCATTTTTAATATATTATACAACGTAAAATGTGCATTCAATTACTATATAAAACAAAATAAAAAAAACTTATTCCCATATCTGTCTTAGGATTTTCTAATTTATAATATATATTAATTGTTAAAATTACCATTTTAGTCATATAATTATTACATTTTCCAAATTCAGTATTTTTTTTTTAAGTATAAAACTGAGTTTTGTATATTTTTAAAAATATAAATAATTAGTTGTTTTTAATTTTATTTTTTTAATTTGACTTTTATCTTATTAGAGAAAATAACAAATTTGTTTTGAAAAAAATGCTTATAAGTGAGCTGTATAATACCAAAAATGTCACTTTTGTCCTCCAACACGCATCGCCCTCATTTCGTACGTTATAATAATAATAATAATAATAATAATAAATTGAGATTTGACAGCTCATTTTATTATAACGTTAAAAGAAGGCTGTTTCAAAAAATAAAATAAAAAAACATTACAATGAGCGCAATCTTATTTTAAAATGAGGTAGCATTTTAATCTGAGGTTTATGGTTTTCTTCTCCATGGAACATGTCACAGTCATACTTCTCTAAGTCGTGTTGTTTATAGCCACATGCTGGATGTGTCGATCATGCTTGTCCAGAACATGTTGTTTATGGTTGCATGTTTGATGTTTCGATCCAAACCTCATTTTACATGCTTTCATCTTAATTAAGTTTTTACCATTTCATGTTGTGTCAATACAAAGGTGTATGGTCGTTTACCAAAATTATGTCTACATCTGTCACGACTAAAATGTCTCAAAATGTATTATAGAGGAATGCGACTAGTCATTAATTCTTTGTATCGTGAGTTGTTTGCTTCTTTACTTATAGTCATATAACGTTGTTTTCTTCAATTTTTTCAAATTGTTTTCAAATGTATTTTTCCGTTCACATTTTCTAAAATATTTCTCGCAATTGTGACCTAAGGCTCAAGTATACGCCGACGTTGTTTGCGAAGTCCGAATTTCTCACGAGTGACTTTTTCGTTGAGTTAAAACAAGTATCACTCAATTGTTGTCCAGATGCCACAAAAATGCAGTTGTGACACCACACCTCTACATCACATGATATCACTGACCCTCACGCCAAGCACGTCAATTGACAAAGTGAGAAACGAACGCGTAGAGATCAAACATATAAGTGAAAATAGCATTCCTAAACTTAAATGAAAACAAAACCAAATTCAAAGGAAGAAATAGGAGTGAAGTTGAGAAATCTAATAATTATTAGATTTATAATTTAATTCGGCGAACTATCATTAGTAGATGTCTGTTTTGGCTCGTTATGTATCATCGTCAGCCTCACCGTTTTAAAACACGTCTACTACAAAAAAAAGTTTTCACATCCTTATAAGGAGTGTTATGTAGTAAATTTGTGTTTCTCTCTCCAACCAATCTGAGATCTCACAATTCACTCATTTGAGGCCACACCGTCCTCGTTGACACACTGCCTAGTGTTTGGCTCTGATACAATTTGTAACAGCCCAAACCCATCGCTAGTAAATTTGTGTTCCTCTCTCCAACTGATGTGGGATCTCACAATCCATTGGGAACCTAGTATCATTGTGGCACACCGCCCAGTGTTTGGCTTTGATACAATTTGTAACAACTCAAACCCACCACTAGTAGATTTGTGTTCCTCCTTCCAACCGACGTGGGATCTCACAATCCACCCCCTTGGGGGACTAGCGTCCTCGCTAGCACAAAGTTCGCTATTTGGCTCTGATACCCTTAATAACAGCCCAAAAGTCCACCGCTAGTAGATATTGTCCGCATTGACCCGTTACGTATCATCATCAACCTCATAGTTTTAAAACACATCTACTAGGAAAGATTTCTACACCCTTATAAAGAATGTTTTGTTTCCCTCTCCAACCTATGTGAAAACTCACAAGCTCGGTTCAGTTTAATCAATTTTTGCGAGTCTAAAACCAAGTTTAAAGGATCAAAGAATGATATGAAAGGGATGCATACCTTTAAGATCTTCTTACCAAAACCAGACTCAATTGAGATGGTCTCTGGTTGAGGAGCAATCCAAAGCAAAGCCCTCACAAGATCTTGTAGAGAAGGACTAAACAAAGGCTTTATTATCTTAACTTTCAAATGCTTCACACCATACAAAGGGGAAGCAAATGTCTCCCTCACCTCCTCTGGAATAACCACAGTCTACACCAAAAAAAAACAACAAACAATATTAGAGAACTCGAGTTTCATTAATCTCGTATGATAATCATTTGATTTTTTTAACGTTAAAAACCAACCTTTCCCGTTCTACTTTGCAACGTCAAGACTTCGAGATGATTTAAATATGCTAGGATTTCAATCTGTTTAACAAACCACGGATTATCAAAAATCCGTGGGGAGAAATCGATGTCGGCTTGCAAGAGAGTAGGAGCATTCAAAGAGAAAGATATCAAATCTCTGGAATACTTGAGCTCCAATAAACAAGAAGCATCGATGTCGAGTCTCGTCACGGATTCACATCCACACAAGATGAATTTCTTCAAATGAGGGCATGAGATTCTCAAGCTCTCCAACATGTGGCAATAAGACAAGGCCAAAATCTCAAGCGTGGGAAATTGAGTGATACCATCATGGAACCAATCATCTGTTATAGCCACCATGGTGAGTATCAAAGTTTTTAGATTCTTGCAAGAGCTGATAACAATGCAACAAGGCTGAAATTGCTCTCTAAACTAAAAAATTTGAAGATTCATGGCTTTGATCCCAAACTCACACAGCCCACTATTGTTATGAACCTTCATAGTTATGAGTTCTTGAGTTTCACATAGCCAAACACTTCTCAATCCAAGGCAAGAATCGAGCTCGATATGCTCGATAACACGACAATTCGAGACTAATCTTTTTACAATCTCATCTTCAACAAAAACACCCAAAAGGGTTACCCTTTGCATACCCAACAGCCTGAAGCCATCCAAAGGAGGACACAATTTGCAATCACCAACGGTCAAAACTGTCAACGACTGGCTTGCAAGAACACTCTTGAGGCAAGTTGTACCTTTTTCCATTTTCCACTGTGACAACAATCTCAAGCTCCCGGAGCTGTTCTCGAGCACGTAGTCAACCCACCGATCGACGATGCTTGCCGAGCTCGGCCATGGGAAATCAACCTGAAGCTTAAACATCCTCAGCGATTTCAGCTGCTTGAGAGTTTGTTCCACGAAATCGATGAGCTGAAGTCTCTTTTTCTCAGCTGATTGTTCGGTTTTGGATAAGTCGAGGTCGAGCCGAAAGAAGTTCGTGTCGAATTCTAAAGACGGGAAAGTGAGCCAAAGATGGCTCCATCTTTTGGATAAGATAATTGTTTGAACTATTTGCTTGATGGGAAGAAACGAAAGAATGTGCTGCAAAATGGGGTAATTCTGATATCAGTAATTTGAATTTAATAAATTTAGGATTCATTTTCTTTTTTTATTAAAAAAAAAAAGAAAAAAAAAACATTACTCTCATTCTAAAAATAATAATACTAAAAAAGTTAAATCTTTATAGTTTAAAGAGGAGTATTTTTATTAATTTAGTATAATATTAATAAAGAATATAAAAACAGAATTATTATTATTATCATGAAGTAAAGCCGTGGGACTCATTTCGGGTGTATTGGGTGGATTTGGGCCTTGGGCCCAGAATACGACCCGAGTTGTAGATGATTCAATGTATGATCTTAAAGAGAGGCAAATTTTTGTTTGTCGTGTAGTGGGAACGTTCAATCCGACCGTCGAAAGTCAGACCTTAACCTACGTGGGCCACTCCGGCCCAATAAAGTTATTGACTTGGTGAATTGGGCCTGTTTTATTTAATCCCTGATGTGACGAATGTTGTCTTTGACCTAAAATATTTAATAAATGTTTTTTTTTGGTCGCATACGAATTTGAATGTTGTCTTTGCCCTATTATATATTCTGAGTCAAAATATAAATTCTTGGATCAAATGGATAACTAAAATCTTCGTAATAAAATAAATAAATAAAGAATCCCATTTTCCAGCATAGATCCCACGTGGCTAAATGTCATTCCATCAAAGTTCCAACCAGCCATAGGATGCCACGATGGATTACCAACGCTACAAACGTGGAATTCACGTGCATGGCAGCACAAGGATTACGTTGGACAATTTCCTTCTACAAAAATACTATTTTTAATTAAATTAAATAAATAATCAGAAAATATATAATTTTCCCAATGATATCGAATTCATCTTTCAAGGGTATGTTTGGTATTTTGTTTTGGTACCACTCATTATTATTATTATTATTATTAAATATTTTCATTTTTTTTTTAACAAAATACAATGGAATCATGAGATAAATTTGACAAAAAAAACCAAAATGTATTTTTAAATTTTTTTAATTTCGTTTTATTTTTTAAATGCACTTGTTTAATCTCTTTCTTTTATATAAATGAATAATAGTAAGTTTATATCTTTTAAATTATAGAATTAGAAAATCAAATAAATATTTTTTTAATAGATTATTATTTATAATGTGATAAGATTTAAGAGTTTAGTTAAATATATTTTTTAAATTATAAAATTAGAAAATCAAATAAATATATTTTTTTAACTTGTAAATTACAAAGTGATAAGATTTACAGAACCGACAGTAACGATCAGATTATCCCTCTAGAATATCCAAAAATAGGGAAAAAAAAAAAAAAAAAAAAAAAAAAAAAACCTTTGGAAAAGAAAAGGGCAATCGAAAGGGCAATGTTGAATTGTTTAGGTTTGTTTGTTTGAATAGAATAGATTCATTGTATTTGCCCTACCTACCTCATCCTCAACGTCTTAGAATACACTCAAATGGGCCTCCTTTTGTCTTGTAGTGGTCCCCTCTTTTCTCCTAATGGGCCTCTTCAAATGGAGGGTTTCTTCGGATTTTTTACCTGCCTTTTTTTTAAATATCAAATAAATTCAAATTTACTTAAATTAAGTTATTATTATTTCAAAGCATACTAAAATACCAACAAAATATTTACATTATTATTAAATAAGAATAAATATTAATCATAAATAATGTTTGGGTGAGAATTACTTTCTATAATTTTAAATTTGAGGGTATAATTTTTATTTTAAAAAAATAGATATGACACACCGACTCAATCAATCTATGTCATGTCTTAGTCTATTTATAGTTGTTTTCTAATGATTGAATTGAATTGATTAGAGTTAGTGTAATTAAAAATAACACCAAGATGGAAAAAACTATCAACAGTGTAAGCACAACTCGTGAATTACCACCAAAATAAATAGAAAATTGAATCTCGAAGATTGAAACAGGGACGGTAATGAAGAAAATTAAAAATTTGAATCATTTGAACAAAAAAATCGTGTTCGTATTTATCTTCATCTTTATTTCATTTAAATGCAAATGTGAAGAAAGTATATTATTATACATTGAATGCTTTGGTTGAAAAAAGCAAATAGAAACAATTCAATATACTTTATGAGGACATCTCATTGCTCCAAATCTTCATAAATACGAACACCTCCACTCCCCCCACCAAATCGACAAGGCCCAAAAACGAAGAACCCTTCTCCCTTTTGTCTTCTCCTCAAACTTCAAAACCCTTCCATAGCCTGTAATTATGGATGATTTGCTTTGGAATGGCTCGTGGAGCAACGAAGAACACAACGGTTGTAACGAAAGCTTATTCGTCTCCGATGACTCGAGTCGTTGTTCGAGTCTTCCATTACAAGAGCTTCAGATGGTTGCAAGAATGTCGAAGTTTCCAGAGATGGCAAAGGATTCAGAGTCTTGGTCGGAGGGAGATTTGTTGGAAGAGCTTGAAAATGACAAAGGTTTAATATTTAACGTTACCATGCAATATTAGCTTTAGATTTCCATGCAATAACCCACGAGATTTTGTTACGTAGGAATTGCACCAAAGGGTGGAGTTTTGGACATTTTTGAAAACCACAAGTCAAAACAACAAAACTCTACAACTTCATCTTCGAACAACGACGAGGTCAAGCCTTTTAATCGAGATCGAGCCATGTCACAAATGAAGGAATTGGTATACTATGCAGCGGTGTTTAGGCCAGTGAGCTCGGGATCAGAGACGGTGAAGAAGAAGAGGAGGAGGAACGTTAATACATCGAAGGAGCCACAGACGGTGGCAGCGAGGAAACGAAGGGAGAAGATAAGCGAAAAAATTAGGGCTTTGCAGAGGTTAGTTCCTGGTGGGAGCAAAATGGACACTGCCTCCATGCTGGATGAGGCAGCAAGCTATCTCAAGTTCCTTAGGGCACAAATCAAAGCACTAGAAGGGTTAAGCTACAAACTTGGATCCATTGATTGTCTCTCAACTTCCACATCTTTCAACCCTCCTTTTTCCACAATTAATGCTTATTTTCCTCTCTAATATCATAATCTATCATCTTTATCAATAAAATATTAATCTATGATCTTCGCACCGTTTAGAGAATTTTCCTTACAGGTTGTGTGCTTCAACTCCAACGAGTATAACTCACATACATGACGAAAGGTTGAACTGATCAAGCACGATCTTCTTAGTATAACTTGAGCGCATTAAAGAGTATTTAAAATTTGAATTACATTCAAATGGGTTAAATATAAATTGGATTTAAATAAAATATAATATTTCCTATTCGAAAAATATTTTTTCAAAATCGGTATAAATTTTATTCTTGTAAGGTATCTAAAACTCATCTCACACACTTCTCCATGCTCTTTAAGGAATTTAGAATTCTTCAGAATTATCCCTCTTGAATGCTTTAAGGATTTTTTTTTTTTTTTTTCAAAAGGCTCATATAAGCTTGGGTCGTTTCAAATCATAACCAAGAATATCTTAAAAGGTGCGAAGGAGGAGGTTGGTTTTCGAGACTATTTTAGAGACTAAAATTGAAATTGAGGAGAAAAAAAATCAGCAAAATGAGCTTGTTGCGCGAACCCTAGGAAAAGTATAGATGAGTTGTTTGATAGGTCATTTCCAGACAAAAATGTCCGATACTAACCACGCAAAGGGTTAGGATCTAGATATCTAAAATAGTTTTATTATGATCGGATTATTGGAAGAATAGTCTCATATTAGTTAATTAAGAAAAATACAAGTTTATAAGTAAAGAATACCTCTAAGATATTTTAAGAAAATAAAACAAAAAAAAAATTCATTAGAGCTCATAAAATCTGTAATTACTAATATGGTATCATAATCATGTCCAACTAAAATATTCGGGAGGGTAATGATTTGCTTTATTCCATGATTAAATTATGAAACAAATTCGATATCATTAAAAGTATTGAATTTATGAAAATTTGTATATGTCACCATCGACCCAATAAGGAAAGACAAAGATCTAAATAGTATAGATTACCCTAATTCGATCACTAAGAATGAATATAAAAATATATTTAATAAAAATCGGAGCACAAGATTATCTCGATAGTTAAACTGTTTCTTGAATCTCACGAACCCTAGGCTGGATTTCATCTTCTTTAACCTTTTCTTTCTCTGTGTTTACCTGCATCAGTGATTCATATAGGCTTAAAGCATGGTAAGCTTCTTCTTCTTCATCTTCTCTATGGTTTTGGTTCTTGTTTATTGGTTTTTAACGCACAACTATCCTTAGATTTCTGCTGAAACGCGATTACGGAGGCCGATTTTGGTCTCTTAATAATTGATATATGTACGTAGCTCTAGAGTGAGTTTCGTCTTCATTAATCGCGTCTCCTTCTCTCTGTCTAAGCTTTATGTGTGCAGGATTAAATTTTTCTTTATCTTTTCCTCGTTTTTGGTTTTGTTGGTTCACCGACTGATGATCCTCTGTTTCTATGTGGCGTTGGTCAAAGGTTTGCATTCAATCATTTGCGTCTTACTTTTCTATTTCCATTAATCGTCAGGATTCTGCTAAAGCAAGATTTCGGAGGTTGATTTTGATTTGAACTGGACAACCGATCAGTCTATGCTATGAGGTAAGCTTTATGAGTTTCTTTATGGGCCTCGCCTGACATATACGATATAGTCTCTGTTCAACACATTGCTATAAGAGTACTCTTTGACCGACTGACAAAAGCTTTAAGTCAAACTTTTAATTACAACGATGGAAGGACAAATCATCATTGTCAACGACCAAATCATTCAGATGCCCGAAGCTTAAATTTCTTGAGAAGTATAATAAAATTCGGTTTTATGAACAATCAGACCATTCACAACATCTAGTGAATCAGGTTTAGAATGGGATTGGATGAATACACCATAGCTTGATCAACCCTTACAGCGACTGCTTTAGCCTTTCAGTTGCTCCCAAAGCTTAAATATCTTGAACAGTTAGATAAATTTCAAATTTATGAATAATCAAACTATTCACAACACTTAATGAATTACGTTCAGGGTCAAATTGGGTGAATACTACGTAGCCATAACTAGCCAACCCCCTATAGCGATTGCTTTAGCCATTTGCACATTTAAAACATAATGTGCAAATTGAGTCATAATTGCAATTGTTTTCCCTAATGACTGTATCAAAGGCTGCATTTTGTAGATTTCCACTGAAGGCAGGGGCAGGATCAACATTGATTTTAAAGAAACCCTATGCTGGAGGTATTCACCTAAGATAATTCTTTGAGGACTTTTAAAATTTGAAGCTTGAAACTTGATCTAGCCACGCTCAGTATAATTCACAGCCCACTCGGGAATGTTGCTTATAGTAAAAATGATTTCTGTTGGTCAATGTAACCCAAATGATATTGAGAACAATTAGAATCTTGAAGCATTTAGCCAAGTCAAGAAGCTACAATATTAAAGGGAGAGGATAAAATTGCAGTGAAAAGAGTGGTAAAATTGATGGTGGATAAACAATTGAAAATCTAGCCATTGGCAGTCATATTATGAAGATGGGGGTCTTAACAGATCTGGATGAGGCAAATTTGTTTGATGTTGCTGTTGAAGTGGGCCCACATGTTATCATGGACGAAGAAGAAATTTCTGATGATGTCAGTGCTGATTCAACTGATTCGGTTATGGAGTTCGATGTCTTTGATCTAGTATGGAGCAAGATACCGAGCCATCCCTGGTGGCCTGGGCAAATATGTGATCCGGCAGCTTCATCAATAAAAGCCATGAAATATTTTAGAACAGGCAAATATCTGATAGCATTTTTTGGGGATCATACATTTGCATGGAAAGAAGCAGCGATGATAAAACCATTTCAGGAATATTTTTTGGAGTTGCAGAATCAGAACAAATTGGAAAGTTTTCGTCAGGCAATTGATTGTGCTTTGGAAGAGTTCTCCAGGCAAGTTGAGTTTAGCCTTGCCTGCTCTTGTTTATCAGAAGAAGTGTATTCCAAGCTCCAAACTCAAACACTTACTAATGCAGGAACCCCCAAGATGTTGAGTAAAAGAGTGGGCGGGGACAGCTTTCTTACTGCAGCATCTTTTGATCCAATGAAGCTTATTAACATTGTTAAGGAATTAGCCATGTCACCTTTTGGTGAAGCTGATAAGTTAGAACTAGTTCGTGCACGTGCTCAGTTGTTGGCATTCAATCGGTGGAAGGGCTATGGTAAACTGCCCAAGTTTGATAAACACAATGTAGTGTTCAACGATATTGATCACATTTTAGATGTGAAAAACGACTATCAAAGTGAATCAATGGAGGATATAGGTATATACATCAAACATGATGAAGCGGCCTTAAGTGGGGAATTGAAAACTCAAGACAACTCCGTTGGCAAGTGCATAGATAATTCTGAACATTTAAAAGACTCTAGTACGAAGGGAACTTTTTTTCTGAATTCAATGGCCAAGGAGCCTGGTCGCAGCTGGAAGAAAAAACATAGATCTGAAGAGAATGATGGCTATGAATTGAACTTGCATGCTTCAAGTACAAAAGATGAGGTATGTACTGGTATCAACATTCCAATAGCTCTTGTTGATTTTAGGAAGACTGGCCAAACCTTTAAAGTTGGAGATTCCATTCAAAAGGTTGCTGAATTGAATGAGTTGAATCCAATATTGAAGCACGAGGATGGAATATCTCTAAAAGTTGTTTCCAAGACGAGACAAGGCAGAAAGCGCAGAAAGGAGACGTCAGAACTAGTTTCTGGTGGGAACCCTGGAAATAAGTTGACTAAGACAAAGAAAAGAATAAACATTTCAGCCTCAGTAAAAACATCTGAGTCTGAATTTATTAAGGACACTTATTGGACTGATAGATTAATCCAGGGCATAGCTGATGATCGAGTATATTTTGAAAATCAAAATGAAAATATGGAGTCCCACTTTCAGACTCCAAGTGAAAGGGTTATCCATACTGGTGTGAATTCAACCAATCAAGATGAGCCTCATGAACGTATGGAACCAGCCTCGGAGAATAGTGTGGAGGATCCCTATCCCACAGCTCTGATTTTAACCTTTACAGACTTCGATTCCATTCCTTCAGAACCAAACTTGAATGATATATTTAGAAAATATGGCCCTCTGTACGAGTCGAAAACTGAAGTAATGAAAAAAAGTAGACGAGCCAAAGTAGTTTTCAAGCGAACTGCTGATGCTGAAACAGCTTTCAGCAGTACTGGGAAATATAGCATTTTTGGAACTGCACTTGTAGGTTACCGCCTTAAGTTCTTGCCTCCAACCAAAGTTTCTCTGCGTCGGAGGGGGAGACCCAGAAAAGAGGCAAATCTAAAAAATGAACTGCTACTTGATGCGTAAGATTCAGATTTTGAGGTGTGGCTTCTAACTAATAAAGAAACTGGTATTATACTACTTTTCCTTTTAAGTGACGTCTGTTTTCACTTCACATTGATAGTTTAACTTGTAAATAAGTATGAAATGGCTGATACTTATTTAATAGGCATGTTATAAATAAGTTTGTACATGCTATTTTCTGTCGATGGGCATATTGGAGAGAAGTTATGCCCTCATGGTTCGGTCCTTTGGATATTTAGATGTCACTTTTTTGTTTTGATACACAGATTTCTGCTCAAACGTTAGCTTGGAGGCTGATTTAGCTTTGAACAAAGCAACCGATCGGTCTGCACGCTATGGAGGTAAGATTTATGAGTTTTGTTCTCGAATCTCGCCTGAAATGAATTGTATAGTCACTGTTCTTGAGTTATGGTGGCTTGCTTCAAGGCAAGCCACTCAAGCGACTCCCTCCTATAGCTTTATTCTTTACAAAATTATAAACAAAAGGTTAAAAGAGACAGCATAGATTGTTGGTGGCTCCAAAACTCTCTTGTTTTAATATATACATTAAAAGAAAACGCCTGTTGTTTCATGTCCAATCACGTTGCAACATAAATCATAAATTTAAGATATGAATTTTAACAACTATTACGTATGCATTAGAATATGAATGACAAAAACAAACAATTACATTGGCACATCCTGTAATTTTTCTTGACAAATATTTACCATAGAGATTAAAACAAAATAGTCTAATAGATGATGTGTGAGAAAATCTCCAAGCTAACACATCATTTACGATGCTACCCATTAATGCATATGTTCTCGATTAAAAGGTTGAATTTTACCACTCCACTTGTTGAACTAAAAATGACATCTACCTAGCTGAGGGACCAAACTAAAAATGACATCTACCTAGCTGAGGGACCAAACAGAGTACTTGATTCTGCAACACCTGTCTCAGCTTGACGAGGGGGCTTATTGCGAGCTGATTCTATGGCCAAACATTCCTTCAAATCGACCACAACTTGGCTCATACTTGGCCTGTCTTTAGATTTGGTAGATACACAAGACATTGCCACATCTACAGCTTTCCAAGCAGAGTTTATGTCAAAATCTTTCATTTTTGGGTCGATAATGGATCGAATATCCCCTTGAGAAAGCAGCATATTGACCAAATTATAGATATGAATTACATTGCCTCCACCTTCACCTCTTATCAAAGCTGGTTTTCCCGTAATGATCTCTAGAATAACCACTCCAAATCCAAAAACGTCACTTTTCTCGTTTAATTGGGACGTAGTGTAGTATCTACAACCAAGAATAAATAAAACACAAATATAAGAAGCTTTATCCTTCTCATTTAAGATGCCTTTTCTCATGGAAATCATGACATGGAATACGTATAACGATGAGAAGAAATGATGTGACAGTAAATGACTTACTCTGGATCAATGTAACCAAAAGTTCCGACCACATTTGTGGCTGTGACATGAGAGGCACCATTTTCTGTTACGAAAGCTCTTGTCAGCCCAAAATCCGACACTTTTGCCCGAAAATCGTTGTCCAATAATATGTTTGAAGATTTTACATCTCGATGAATCATTGCTGGTTTGATACCACAGTGAAGGTACTCCAATCCTACAAGTTTTATAAATGTCAAAACTTGAATCCATACGAAATGGGGAAATTCAAAACCATTTGATATTACAAACCTTGTGCTGAATCCAGCGCTATACGAAGTCTATCTTCCCACTTCAAAACCATTGATTTCCCACCTAGATACGCATAATAGAAGCATTTTCTTAAGAACTAGAAAGAACAAAAACGTTATCAAATCATTGATAGATGCCATACTTGAAATAAGAGATCCCAAGTTCCCTTTTCCCATGTATTCATAGATGAGTCCTTTCTTGGTTGATTCATCACAATATCCAACAAGTCCAGTCAAGTTTCTGTGATGAACTCTCAGGAGAAGGTCAACCTGCAGCATTTGACCCGTTTTCATTTCATGTTTTTTATTTCTAACTTTTTGTATTTCGAACAAGAATCCCGAAACATACACGCTTTCGAACGTGATCTAAAAATGTGCATACCTCTGCTTCAAACTGATCATACCCTTGAACTGATTGAGGCGAAAGCATCTTAACAGCTACTTCAGTGGCATCGATTTTACCATAGTAGACTTTTCCAAAGCCACCTACTCCAAGCGTTCGTTCAAAATTGTTTGTAATTCTCAAGATATCCTCATAAGAATATGATCTTTTTGTTGTGCCCCATTGTTTTGCTTCTCCCAACACAGCACCTGAGGGAATGATTTCAATATAAAGAACACAGATTTTCGATTGTAAAATCATGCATTTTAAGTTTAATCTTACCTTGCTTTCTCTGTTTAGTCTTGATCCAGAAAATGGCACCTGAAATTAAGAACAAAAGAAGAACAAACCCACCAACTGATGCTACTACAGCTACAACTGGGTTGCTTTTTCCCTTCTTTTCACTTGGAGATGTACTGATGAACAGGTTTGGATTTTCGCCATAGCTATCAAAAGAAAAACCAAGTTGAAATACTAAATCTTAGAGACTAAAGTGTTAGTTTGATGAATGATTTGGGTACCTAAAGGATAAAGAACCATCATTGGAGCTTTGAATGAGTTGGGAAGGAATAACTCCAGAAAGGTTGTTTCTTTCTAAATTTCTGCAAATAGAGATCCAAACTGAGAACAATTATCAAAAGGGTCTTAGATTAATGACTTCTTATTGCACAAAAGTCACTTACAGGATCCTCAATGATGGCAATTGAGTGAGAAAATCAGGCACGCTTCCATTCAAGCTATTATTTGATAGATCCCTAAAACCAAACAATGAAAACATATGATCATCTGTTTTGGTCAATTGCTAATAAATTATATACCAACATACTTACAAAGTCTCCAGCGTTTTAAGACTTGCTATAATTTCTGATATTTCCCCTGTGAGTCCACTGGAGGATAAGTCCCTGATTTGCAGGTTCAGTCATTTTCAGTGAGAAAACTATACAAATGACAAGAAACAACCATGTCGGCCATCGTGACTGACCGACCATCTACTTAGGATTCATAATCTTAATCTTAATTCAGTCGTTGTCTTATGACCAGCCTATCTATGATTTAGAGTCCCACGAGTGGTTGTTTTATGGGTTTGTGAGACTATGGTGGCTGGCCACCTACTTTGTGAGATCCCACATCGGTTGGGAAGGAGAACGAAACATTCTTTATAAAAGAGTTGAAACTTCTCCCTAACAAACACGCTTTAAAAGCCTTGAGGGAAAGCTCGAGAGGGAAAGCTCAAAAGGACAATATCTGCGAGTAGTGGGTTTGGGCCGTTACAAACGGTATAAGAGTCAGACACTGGGCGTGTGCTAGCAAGGAGGCTGAGTCCCGAAGGGGGTAGACATGAGGCGGTATGCTAGCAAGGACGCTGGGTCTCGAAGGGGTGGATTGGGTGGGGGTCCCACATCGATTGAAGAATTGAATGAGTGCCAGTGAGGAGGCTGAGCTCCAAAGGGGGTGGACACGAGACGGTGCACCATCAAGGACGCTGGGTCCCAAAGGGTGTGGATTGGGTGAGGGACCCCACGTCGATTGGAGAAGGGAACGAGTGTCAGCAAGGACGCTGGGCCCTGAAGAGGAGTGGACTGAGATCTCTTATCGGTTGGGGAGGAGAACAAAACATTTTTTCCCCTCCCTAGCAAATGTGTTTTAAAAACCTTTAGAAGAAGCTCGAAAAGGAATGTCTAACGAGAACAATATTCCTAGCGGTAAGTGAGGTTGTTACAAACAAATGTAGCTAGTTTAGTAGTGGGTAAACAGAGCAGGAAGAACTTGAGAAACTTACAAGGATGTGATTCTGGGAGGCTGGGAATCCACAAAGCTACAATTCAGACCTCGCCAAATAAGCTCTCTAGGCGCACAAGGATCCCCTTGCCAGTTTCTTCCAACTCCATAAAACGCCTTGATATCCAAAATGCCCTCAACTGAAACATTTCAAAACCCTTGTTTATACAACCAAGTAAACATGAAAACAACAAGGTTGGGGGGCGGCTCACCATCTTGCTGTTCAGTGGGAGATTGAGGGAAATCGATGACCCTGTAAATTTCAATGGCGTTGAGGAGAGGGGGATGAGTGGAATTAGGGGTTCTAACGAGGGCGAAATCGTAAATCCCGCCTGTGATGGGTTTGGTACTGTAGGAGACGACTCCTTGTAAGTAAGGTAAGGAAAGTTGCCCATCGTTCCAGGGGTTCCCATTCAGCAATATGTTGAACACTCTGGACTCGTTGGGTTGAAGCTTCTGGATCTCTGTGAAATACATGTAGACGTAAAACCTGGTCGTATCATCCGGCGGAATCCAGTTGAATTCCATCGGAGCGGTGGCGTTTTTGGGCGTCGCGGCGGAGGTCATCACCGGCTGAGGAGGTAAGAAGGAGGTGGGGTCTTGGGTATCTATGGTCTCGGTTGTGGTTAGCTTAGTCCATGCTGCGAGTGGAACCATGGCGTACCATATTCGATCATAAACATCGTCTTTGTACCTTCACAAATTAAACATTTTCAAACGATTTTCTAAAATAAAAAAACGATTTAATTTTATTTATTAGTCTAATTCTTCATCAAAATTTCTATCTATTCACGTAACGATCATAACGTATATAAATAACACCAGCCTACCTCAACACTATTTTTATATATGATTGAAAAATGTCTAGAAATGAATAGGGGGTCTACATGGCTCGAGTTGGGTTGGGTGGGGGATTTTTTTTTTTTACCAACTTGAAATTTTTAGGTTGATTGAGTTGGTGAACCCGAGCAACTTGAATAAAGTCTACCACTCAAACTAACCAAACTATCTATTGTTTGGCTTAAAAAATCAAACTATCTATTTTTTTAATGATTTAAAAAAAATTATGCTATGTTAAATTTCATCAATTTTAAATATCAAACCTTCATAAATCTCTATATCGGGTTGTAATCATACCGATTAGAATCCGACCCCATGAGAAATTGAGCAAAAGGCTACCGAATTGGCCTATTTCTTGCGTGTACCAATTGAAGTTTTTTGCAAAATGAAGTTTAGAATGAATGCTTTCTTAATTAGTTGCATGAGGAATAACATGAATTTCTTCCAGATGCTCAAAGGTTGGTCAGATTAAATGGCACCGTCAAACCAATACAATTTTAATCCAACCAAAATCAAAAGTAAATCTAATCCGACTCGATTTTTATGGTTTGGGGTAGGTGGTGCAAATTGATCCGGAACATATCTAGCAAAATAATAATAATAATAATAATAATAAATAATATAATATAATATAAATGCAAGATTAGAAGAAGAAATTGTAATGCGGCGGACCTGTAAGAAAGGTTTGCCGCAGAGCCGGCATCAAGGCGGAGAAAATTGGCAAGCGATTCCGATCTCGTTTCATAAATGGAGTTTACCAAAGGCCTCAACTCCAACGCCGAAATGAACGGCGTTCCAGTCCCCGTATCAACCAAACAAACCTCCACCCAATTGGACAAAACCACGTGTATAATCTCATGATGCGCCGTCGTGTTCATGCCTTC